ACGCATAAATAATATCCGAAAAGGCTGTGGCATGAGTCCAAGACTGACGCAATTGTTTGTCCTAGCGCGAGGGCAAACCACAATATTACACAATCAAGGAGCATCAACTTTGTATTTTATCCAATGCATAGACAAATTGTAGAGCATTTGTTCGCACTGTTCGTGGAGAATTCTATGGAGTTGTATCTTGGAAGGTCATCTGTGTTGTTAACTAGCACAATTGAACTTCCTTAGCATCTTAGCAACGTTCATTGCTTTTGAAGAAAATTCTAAATGCTAATCATGCAATCATCCTCAACCTAAATCTTGCAAATGTCTTTTTACAAGCAATGTTTAATATGATCGCCGTATGTCGGATAGTATGCATCACAGATCTTGAGTATCACAAAAAAGATCTCAGGAACAACATCTAAAGATAATAAAAAGTATAAAATATGCATGTCATCAAATCCATTTGAAACCAAAACCTGATCAATCGCGAGTTACTAGAATCACGTATGTGTTAGATCATATTGTTGACTAGCATAACTATACTTTCTTAAGTTATACATCACAGATCTTATACTTTAATGATTTTTTAGGCACTAGTATCAAAATAATATAGCTCAAGTAGATTGTTGAAGACCATAATTTTATTCTGTTTTAAAAATTATTAGCAATGGACACTACTTTTGAAGATAATTCCATATGTTAATCATGGATTCATCTTGCAACTCTATTATGCAAGCATTTGCGTACAAAATATGATTAATATTATTGTTGTATATGTGAAGACATCAATCACATGATTTGAACAACTCAACAAAGATGTCATGCAAAAACATAAAAAAATTACAAATGATTATGTCATAAGTCACTTTTAATTTTGTCCCCTGAGCAATCACGTGAAAATAAATGAAGGTTTGAATTCCGAAACCATTCAATAAAGCAAAGTATTTTTAATTGAAACATGTCAAGTCATTTTATGAAGTTTTATTCTATTTTCTTCTTATAATAATGTTATTTTTCGGAACGACTAGTTATCAATCAGTTTAGGCTAATTATCACTCACCATACTATACTGTAAAGAAGAGAGATTTTTGTGATTGGTAAGAGTTAAGATGCAAGGACAAGATGGAGAATATAGTCTTAGCGGGGAGAGTAAAATTGGTAGAATCAAAAACATTGCACAACATGGGAACATATGGCAGCGAGATTGGATGAGATATACAATTTTGCAGAAAAATGTAACAATTTTTAATGAGTTAAATTCAAAGTAGAGGTCACTTAAGATTGAAGAGAGTGAATAATAGTGTAATATCTATAGTGTCACGTTAACAACCCATGTGTTTGTTAGTAAGGATTGAGTGTGCTAATTGATAACGACACGTCAGATATCCGTGTGTTCATTAGTTATATCCGCCATATCACCAATCCACTAGGAGTGGATTGATGACATGACGAATATATTTAATGAGATCTTATCTCCTTGTACTTGTTGTAGAGAGAGTACAACCATTGTTGATATCTCTCATCTTCAGAGATATGTTTTCATCTCTAAGTGAACTTTTCAATAATTCACCCAACTTTTACAAGAAAAGTAGGAAGAATCAGAAGTATAAGGAATTGTTTCAGAACAGAACAGACTACGCGCTGAGTTAATATAACAACAATCCATCTCAATAAGCAGACAACGTCTATGAATGATATGATCGTTAGCATGACAGGGGCCCAACCCTTTCATGTGAACACAAAGTTCATCAGTGTGAAATTAACGTAGAAGATAAAGATCTAGAAGTGACAATTAAGCAAAAAAACTCTAATCATAACTTCATTCGTGATTCTTAACTCAGCTCAAACGGAAAACATTGTTTGATAGAAAAGTAAAGGGAAAAGCAATCAGCAGAGTTAGGTAGACAAGCCATCCAAAGTACACATTGATCCAATATGGATGTGAAGCTCCCTAGTGACATGTCATTGTTCAGGATCAAATATTAAACACACATACTCTCTTGTAAATGTTAATAACATGATCAATTATGATGTGCAAAGATAACGCGGATCAATGCGCCAACCCTAAACCCATCACGTCCATGCATCTGTCCCTAAACCAGTCACTTACCTCTCTTCTAAAGTATGATAGAGTGATGGATAATTAGCCTAAACTGAGGTATAACTTGCCAATCTCTTAATTTTTGAAAAAACAAAGACTTTGTCATTAAAAAGTAAAAAAGAAAAACTTAACAAACATAAGAATGTTAGTGGTAATTTTTTTTCATATTTGAATTTTGTGAAAAATTAATTACAATTTTTGCTAAATATTTTAATATAGTAAATATATTGTGATACAATTAATTTTTGATATGATGAGAGTGAATTGTATCACACAATGCTTTGATGATCACAAATTGTTTGCTTAAATATTTGATTTTGACACATACGTGTTTCAAGCTAAAGATTTTATACAATTTATGATTAGTTTTGCATGATTTCTAAATATTAGTAGAATCATTTGATTTATCAAGTAATTCATCTAATATATGAAGAGAGAATTAAAAAATTTATGCAGATGATTAAGCAATCAGTTTGAAATTCTTCTAAGAATAAGTATTTTTGTATGATTGAATGATTTAAGTTCAATTCCATCTCACAAAGTAAAGTATGAATACATGTTGTGAAAGTTAATCACATCTCACTTGGAAAAATTATATTTCCACAGCATAAATGATTGATGTTGATGAAAAAATTTATCAATGTATATGTAAAGAGCAAATGTTGGATCTACAATGATAGATATCAATTTTGTAATATATATTGATAGTTTATGCATGAACTTCACACAAAACTCTCAAAATATATCCATATGATTTTTGCAATAATCCTTAGTCAAATATTAAATTGAGTTTTCAAAAGATATATGTTAGAAAACTTTAGACAAACATTTTAATTTATTTTCTACAACTAGACGTTTATATGCTGTAAATAAAATTGTTTTGCTTTTATAAAACTTCAATGCTTTAGAAGACAAAATGCGGACATATATACTAGGAGCAAATGTATATTCTCTGTTTCACAAGGGGATATGCAATTCATTATAGACGGTGAGTCTCATTTCACATCGAGTTCTTAAGACATTTCAACCGTTCTATCTCTACGACTTGAATTCTCATTCTATGCACCTGAAAAAATCCCCTTCCCGAGAATTCTTACATTTGCATCTATAAATCCTTAAATCTGCCCACTCTTGCTCCTTGGCAGCTTCATCCCTCGATCGATTCACGATCTTCTTCTGAAACCCTGCCACATGGTAACTCCTGGTGGTCCATGTCGCACCATTCACGCACCTCCTCGTCTGTCGAAGTGAGGTTGGCCGTTGGTCGCAGGATTCTTCAGACCTCGCTGTCTGTTTCTCTTTATAAGGCCCAGCACCAGCTCGACACATGCTCTTCCCTTTTCTCAACGTAACCAAGTTCGCCATGAAATGCTCCACAAAGACAGCAATCGCCTCCGATGTCTGCTCCTTCTTTTTTTCAGATTCGTCGAATACGACGAGATCGTCGAGATATTCTTCTGCGTCCTCCTCTGCTTCTTCTGCCTCTGGGCATGACGTGGTGTAGCAGCACCATCATCACTGCTGCCTTCATGCTCGCCTCGATATCCATAGCCTTTGACTCACTGCAATCCACTTCGACTGTACCGTTCTGGGCACAAGGATCGTTCTCCTGTCTTCTGTCCCTGTTCTTTTTGAGGACGATCGCCTGTCTGATGACGTGAATGTACCACTCAAAGCCAATTCCACCTCAGGTAGTAAGATCGCAAGCACAATTCCACTTTGGAGGGTCGCCGTTCCTTTCGTTTTATCCAAATCCTGATAATGTGCCTGATGATTCTCCGAGGGACTAGATAAAAGTATTAAATCCATCACATCCTAAGTCCACTCACCATTTGAAACGACAATCCTTGAATTATCACGACATGTAAGAAAAATATTCTCAATACATATACAAATCTTTCTCAACATAAATCCAAACACAGGGATGAACTCTAAACTATATAATCGCTCTACATGAACCCTCAAATTTATATTATTTTAGCTTTTGAATTTATCTAAAGCATGAAAATTGCTATCAAACTTATAATCATCACACTACAAGAACAATCCACTAGATTTCGATAATTATTCAAGCACCTTTGTAACTCGCGTCCTAAGATTTAAACCTGAGCTTATTGTTCATGAAAGATCCTTAGTAGGGACTTCATAATTTCATTTCCTTTAGAGCTTTACGACAGTGTATAGTGATTACTCAGTTAAGATAACAACTTAATATTAGTGAAGCATAAACAGAATTACTGTTTATTAGTGGAAGTAACACTGCTAGTTAAAAGTGATAGCAATCAACTCCATATTCGCTGTTTTAAAGGAAGACACTATTTGATTGGAATTTATGCGTTGAATCAACACCAGTTTATATACAACACATACATGCGATATGATAGACAATGCACACAAGTTGGGGATAGACACACTTTTCTCAAAGACTGTGCTTTGCTTTTTTATCACTCCTATCGAGAGAGATTTAGGTTTAATTGGAGATGTTGTAGATTTATGATACTAATTAAGGACCACAAGGTTGTTGCAAACATCATATGGTGTTGGGAGTAAAGATTAAATTTTCAGGAGTGAATTTACTGTAGCCTTTACTTCAGAGGCTCAGTTCTTTCTTATCCACATTGTTTTGCCTTTTGCTTTGAAGGTTAGAAGATGTAATCTACTGTCGCTGTTATTCCATGGGTCTCCAATTATTTGAGGGATTGTGCAATAGAAGACCCAGAAAAAATATTTTAAATCTTAAAATAGAAGGTAGTCTGTAGGGGCGTCTCACGACGTGATCACAGCATAACAGAAAAAAATTAACGAAATGATAGCGCTAATCCATCAACGTGTCTTAAAGTCACGGAAAGGGAGATGCTGCAACGGCGCTAAGGCTCTTGTAACAGGGTGCAGAGGGAAGGATGTTCTCAAAGTGGAGAGGATCTGAACAACCCTAAGGGCACGGGCATGGAACTCGTTTTACGACGGAGGAATCGGATTCGAGGGACTGGCAGAACCGATCCCTGTCGGGGAGATATCCGACGATTCGATTGTGGTCATGGAGTGAGGAATTCCGAGGATTGGTCGACTGCAGCGTTCTCTTCTGGCGGAAAATGAAGTCATTGGCGTCGCCCTCAGCCTCGACCTCGCCTGTTGCAGCAAATCGCCAAAAGCAGATGCTCTTCGATCGACGTTATGGATGGGTGTACGTTTCAGTAGAGCTTCGTGGACGATGGGATTGAGTTTTCGGAATTCGCTTCATTGACTTACCGCCTGTGCTGTAATTTGATATGTGCTGCGACTCCTGCTTTGCTAGATGCGACATCAGGACCCCCAAATCTTTGTTGCCTGATTCGAATTTCTGATTTTTGATGCAGCTACGAGCAGTGGACGGATCCCATCGAAGTCGCGAATATGGGAGGTAGAGGAATGTGAGTTACTTCATGGTTTGGATTCAGAGGTTTATTGATAGCTGACTTTTAAGGAGCCGTGATGAATCCATTAGTGCTTGCTCATGACTCTTGGACCAATTTCATTTCTCTACAATGCGTATCAAATGTCGGTTTCCAATGTCGGTTTCTGCATTTTCTGCATTGGTGCGCACTTGTTCGTAGACAAAAGTATCAGGAGGTTGATATTTTTCTGTCATCTAGAAGAGAATTTCAGCTATGGAGTAATTCAAACGGTTTCAGTTTCCTGAATGGTGTTTGAGGAAAAACTAACTCAAATTTGAATTTTCATATGCCCACAGGTTCTCTCTGGTTCCTCTCACAGCCTCTACTTTGGACGGAACCATATATATGGTGAGATCAATTTGCACTGCGGCCTTATTTACGTGTTCGCCCAATAGAATTTGGTTTAAAACTGACTTCTCTGACTCGCGGGTGCCTGAATGATGTCCTTCCTTTTCCAACATTTTCTTCATGGCATTAGTTTCGGCCTTTTTTGTAAAGGGTTACTCGGAGATACTTGAGCATAGGCTGCTGTATGAGGGTCCAAATTCAATTTGTCCATGGCGACGGGAATGATGTGCAGGCAAATCGCGCTGCCGATGGCATAGTGCAGGCTGTTCAAAATCGTGAGGTAATTCTGCAGCAGCTTCAGTCCAAGGTCAAAGAATGTGGAGAATTCACAGGCCGTCAAATGAAAGGACTTGGAGAAAAAACCCGCCACCAATGGAAGGCTCTTGGAGAGAAAGCAAGCGGTAGCAAGAGCTCTCGATAGTTCTGAGCTGCTCTAAGTACAGAGTTGCCCAACGGATACATGCTTTGTCACATCCCGGACCATATGCTGAATCACAGCAGTCTTGTGCATTGCGGAGAAGTGAGTATGGAGAACGTTGACGAAGGCTCAAATTTGAGTAAGTTGTACGCAATGGCGACATATTCTTAGAGAGTCACATGATCTGTTTCTACATGATCATCAGACACTGGCAGCTGTCGCCTAGGGATCAGTCTTATAGTCAACTTACTCATTAAATACACTCTCCATACTTTTCTGTAATGGCGTCACCAGCTAAAAGTTTTTAGTTCGTGAGGAGCGCAGTCTCTCCCACACATTTCTGGTGATTACTGGGTTAGAAATCGACAAGGGCAAGCATGTGCTGTGCAGAAAGGGATTCTCTTTGGATCACATCAAGAGAGCCGTGTATTCATACTGTGTAATGCAAAACCCATTTTCAACGACACCAAAATGAACTGGCCAGTTCTGAGATGTTCGTATCATGTCCTGCATCAATCTTCATGGGTCTTGTCTACCACAGAGAGAAGTAGGGGGGTGTGGAGTGGTAAGATTTGCACATATGCCGGGCTAAAGAGCATTTCGTAGAGATGGCCAAGTCTTATCCTAGCGATTGATTATCCTCGAAGTTGGCGTTTATTCTCTTCATCTTCTTCTTACTATTTCCTCGTATTTTTGTTGTTGGCGCGTCTTATGTCTACTGGCCTCGGTTTCATTTAGCCGTTTCTAGTACTTGTAAAAAAATTAGTAAATATCTGGGAAGTTATGATTAATTTACTGATTCCTGAGATGTAACAATTCACAAATAATCGGTGCACCTTCCAAGAGCATAGCATTCACTTAAATGCTCATAATATGAAGTGTCAATTGAGAGGGAGAACAAGTGAAGTAGAAATGAGAAATAAAGATTTAAATTGGAAATCTTTTGAAGTACAAGTGATTCTAACCGTTCTTGAAGATACAACATCTCTGGAGGCCATCAAACTACACATGAATCTGCTTTATGAGTGATATTGGTGGGGCCAAACAAAAGGAGATGTCTAATCCACCAACTAATTATTTTCTAGTTTTAAATAATTATTACTATTCAGAGACATAGAAAATTATGTAATATTTTAGTATTACATTATAATATAAATAGATATGTTTATAAATAGATATTATTTATTAAATAATGTTTATTAAATTTTTGTCTAAATTAACTATAACTCCATACACTATTTTTGTCTAAATTAACATATACATGGTTGTAAAGGATAACTCATGAGGAGATAAATAAGTTATATAATCAATCATAAATTTCTTATGCAACCAAACACTCTCATTGGAAGAGTTAGTTTTCAAAGTTGAGTAAAGCATAGGTTCATAAATTAACTAGGGAATTAGGCAATTAACGAAAATCCATTGTTTGTAAATATAACAATCACAAACACTTGAAATTTGATGTAAAATAGTTAAAGATCAAGCCCGGAAACCCAAAGTATCAAAAAGCTGAAAAATACAAACAAGTGAAAAAATCCCAAAGATCCATACTTAGCCAAAAACACTAGAACAAAAAATAAATAAACCCTAAACACTAAAACTACCTAATATAACAACCTAAGTTAAAAGTTAGTTACTTTTAACTTGGATCTAATGTCCACTATCATAACTTTAGACTTGTACATATTTACCTCCATATGATTTTGGGTACAAAATCTAGCCAAAGTATATAGTTGTTTCTATAAAGTAATGATATCAAGTGCTTGTAATAAAGAATAGAAATTCTCCATATTTATATTATAAGCAAACCTAATCTCTTGGTACCTAGTATAAGTAACAAATATATGCTCTTCATACTCTATATGCCCATCTATCACATAAACTATAAATACGTCCATTCCTATCAATATTAAGCCAACGCACTTCTTCGATACTAAACCTATGAGACCAAATTCTATCCAGGGAGATAATATGGCGTAAGTACGTAAAGATTCCTGCAAGTAGGTATTCCTGTTCACAATAAACAAGCATAAGATTCACATGAAGTTGATAAAACCGCATCTTAGTGCCGGGCTTGCTCCAAATAACGTTGAGAATCTTCTTTTGTAGACGTTCATGAAGTGCCACATGATGTAGATACCAATCGCGTTCCGTCACATCCGCTACCCATCCCTTGGAACATATGGCAGTCAAAGCTTGAAAAGTAAATCAAGATATCTCACCCTTGTGATGTAAGTGTTGATCAAATATAGAGCTTCAAACTCTAGAAGTAGACAACCTGTTTTCGCAAGAAGAATAGTAAATGGAGTTTGGTTTCTTACATCCAGTTCTTCATCATCTTCTTTTAGACAAATATTTTGCACATTTTTCTCATGCTCCCGAACTCTCTTCTTACAACCAAGATCTCACACTTGGGTTCCATATAATACTAACGGCAACACTAAGCTTCTAAATAAAAATCTCTTAAGAGACTAAGTGAGGTTTTGTACATTGATTTAACAATGAATATAGAGTTTTTTTACCAGATTCTATTATCTTCTGCACGCAAAATGTCCAAATATAATAATTAAAAAAATCAATGTTTTAATTTTTGTAACTTTTCAACTATTCTAATTGTAGATACTTGTAATGGAAATGGAATTTGGATCTAATGTCCACTATCATAATTTTAAACTTGTACATATTTACTTCCATATGATTTTGGGTACAGATCTAGCCAAAATATATAGATGTTTCTATAAACTAATGATATCACGTGCTAATAATATGATCTCATTTGTATACAAGAGAGTTTAGATGACAAAGTTTCCAAGCTTGACATTTTCACTATCACATGATTCCAATCATTCTTTGATATCATCTATGAAAGCTCTAAATATGATAAGAGAGAAAGTACAACTTCGAATCATTCCAATGGTATTCAAAACTTCTTTAGTTTGAATGGTTGTTGATTTTTGTCCTAATATAATGATATAACATGGCCACAACTACTAGAAGATCTTGCGGTACTCAAATGGCTTGCAACCTTTATTATAAAAACTCATGGCTGCTAAAAGATCTGACGGTATTCTAATGGCTTGCAACCTTTATTATAAGAACTCATGGTCGCTAAAAGATCTGACGATATTCTAATGGTTTGCAACCTTTAGTATAAGAACTCACGAATGCTAAAAGATATGGTGGTACTCAAATAACTTAAAACCTTTCCCATAATAACTCACGCTAGAAGATCTGATGTTACTTCAATGGTTTTCAATCATTATTATAAAAACTCACAAGATATGGTGTCAAGAGTTTTATTAAAATGGATGAAACTGCAAAACAAATCTCTTTCATTGCGCCTAGATTTCTCACATAAAATAAACAAAGCCAAAATATGAGAAATGGTGTTACATTTAAGACTAATTCCACTTGGTACCGCGTTCTCTTTCCGTGAAATTCAGTCCATATTTGACTCCACCAATTTGTGTAACAACTTGTCATATAATTTGTGTAAGAACTTGACACATAAGTATCCACTATGATAGTGAAATAGTTTACATAAACCAGACAATGACACATTCTTATGACTTTGGTAGATTTTCTTTTGATTAACTTTTGATTCCGCGCGGAAGTATATCGAGCAAAAGAAGATTTCACTCCTTTCAGAATGACTTTTTTTCTCCAATTTTACTCCATAATTCTTCAAATTCTAACCCCTTAATAACCAAGTGAATAGTGGAACCACTGTCGTTATTCATGTTTTGGATGTTCTATCGAGTTCTAAAAGTTTCATGGATTATTTATCTATGACTAATACCCGGTTTGGTTTATTGAAGAATAAATCTAGGTTCTCAGTATCATTAACCATGGTTCACGATACTCAATTCCTACCCATACCGAAGAATCCAATTAGTCTATCTCAGTCCTCGCCACGCTATAACGTGCAAAAGAAAGGAAGACAATTCTTGTGTGATTTGTACATTGAATCAGTGTGAAGACCACTTGCAACGTCTATCTAACGGGCATTTGGATCCATGATAAAGTTAACAACCAACTCTGGAGAACCATGCACAATTAGCTCATCAAGTTTCTTGTGGTTCAATCAAGCTGGGTCGAGAGTATGACGAACAATTGTAATCCCTGGGGTGACTGCACGTTGCGGCTTCTTCTGATTCTTCGGCAACGCAGCTACTGCACGAGCTACAATAATCCTTGCTACAAATACAAGCGGCACCACGCGTATCTCCCGTGGAAAACTTATACCGGCAAAAAACTCAATAAGCTACATAGCCTGACTGTACAGAACGAACAGTGGCGGGGCATGAAGGGAAGTGAGCACGGGCCAGATCACGAGATCGACAAGGCCCACGCCATCACATTGACAGCTGCTACAGGAATCGTCAGCAACGCTATTCCAGAGAAGCCGCCGAGGTCACATCATAAGCCTCCACACAACCCAGTTCCATCCCAGATGCGTCCATGCAATTGTGAGTACCGAATCCTCTGGAAGTACATCCATACACAGGTTGGGATCGGGACCGGTAATACTCTGATTCCCTTTAATGTTCACCTCGTTCGTATTCATACTTCACAAGTGCTCCTTCCTACTAAAGGTGGTGGAGTTTGTGCGTTCGATACATGCATAATTTGGCTATGTTGGTAGTAGCTTCACATGTACAAAGTTCCACTGCCTAAGAATTTTTCTCTTCTTAGTGGAATAAATATCAATCAAGACATGCCGAGAGCTAGACAAGTACAGGAAGACCTTGTAGGGATGGATATCGACGGAAGAGGCCTCCTAGTTCAGGCTGCCCATTCCTGGGCAGAAGACTCGGCTGCCCGACATGTTGATGATGACCACACGCCAATTCCGTGCAATCCTGGCGACTGTGACAAATCCGTTGACCTCTCTGTTCGGTATTTAGTAGTAGGAACCCTCTAAAGTAGCTTGTGTACAATGCACGGCCTTCAGAGAAAAGCCCACAATCCATTCTCCCTCACTCCTCTTAATATCCCTGCACAAGGGGTCTGTGACACGAGAGTACTAAAACACTAGTCTTTTCTAAGTCGAAAGACTGTACAACCCAGCTTCCGGATTGCGTCTCAAAAATTGCACCCTCAAATTCAGACAAAGTCTGGACCGGCTGGGACGCGCTGTGCAGCTCGAACTCGCCTCAGCGACATGCGCGACCCGCAAGTTTTCAAATGACTGAGCACGGATGGCACTCAAACTGTGTCTTCGACGATGAAGCTTATGCGGAGTCCAACTGCTGAAGACCAGCTTGAGGTAGCTTTGAGTGACGGATAACATGCGATGATCCACTGCCAAGGATCAACGCATGCGACTCCGGTAGACTTCGAGCCTCAGTGCTGCGCTTGATTTGTCATATGACTGACAGTGACTACAGAATATCCTTCATCTATCGCCTAACTTTCGGTCTCTTATTTTGCATGCCCCTGGAGTCTTTCCTCACTTCTGGCGCCCGAGATTTGCCAGCAGCCTTGGCTTTCCTCCGCTTTCTCTCATCTTCACTGTCTGATTCATCACCCTTCTCCTTGTCCTCCCTCTTGGCTTTAGCCTCCAACTCATCCCACGTCAGGCCTTCCTCTTCTTCTGAATCCTCGTCCTCCTCCTCTTCGTCATCAGACTCCACTACCGACTCGTCATCAGAGTCGTCCTCCGACTCCTCGGAGGGCTCCTCCGCATCTGAGGGCTCATAGCCTTCATCAGACTCCTCCGACTTCTCAGAATCTGAGTCACTGCCTTCCATGTTCAAAAACTCCCATCCTCCGTCATCGATAAACTTCTCTGGATCATCCAGAATCGTCTTCAGGATCGGCCGCCAGTTCAAATTCATCCGACTCTCATAATACTTGATATTCATGGAGTTCAACCACTCCTTAATACCATCCAGAGATTGCGACGGGATCGCATCGATCCTCATCACATCCCTTTTGAAGTCTTTGAACACGATAGCCATATCAAAAGCTTTCTGCCCCAGTCCGACCCTTTCCAAGTTCACAATCTCGATGTCATTCAGAGTTATGACAAGGAACGGTGTCTCGACGAGTTCGACAAGGCAGTTGACGGTAGGCACGATGAAGGCAGATGACTTATTCGGAACTCCGTGAAATCCAAGCTCTCTGAAGGGGATATCAAACTCCATGTCCATCTCCCTCCAAGGAGGCTGGTCCCAGAGCTCCGCTAACCTCTTCACAAACACTTCGAACTCCTTGTTGATTTTGTTCCGCCTGTCCCTTTCCTGTTGCTCTTCCTCTATCTCATCCGGGTCGTACATAGATCTACGGTTTCCACCTAAAGTCTGTACTACTTCCATAACCTCCACGTAAAACTGCACATCCTTCGTCTTCTTCGTGCCCACCATGATGAAATTATGGAGGTGAAAGTGAAGAAGCGTGATCATCTCTTTCTCTGCGGGCTGGAAAAAAGCATGTTTGATGTTCCGGTACATGATATCCACACGTTCATCCTGCTTCATGGTCGAGTACCGGAATCCATTGGTGTGGGCCTCCAAAGAGCCACTCATCTTCCTGCCCCTGCCTCCGAACGCAGGTCTGATCCACAGGTCCGATAACCTCACGGGCCTGCCTTTCGAGAGCTGTAACTTCTCTTGAGTCACGAGAGTGGCTCGTTCTGCCCTTTCGGATTCTCGTTGGGCGACGTGCCGCCTCATGGTCTTAATCAGCTGGACCACCTGAGTCGCATGGCGGACATCGCTGGACCTGAATGACACTTCCTTCACGAAGATAGACCTGGGAAACTTCTGCGTGGGGAGATCGTTGGCTCCAAACCCTGCTCCTGGCACATTGAAGATGATCCGAATGTAGCAGTGGCCTCCGTCCTGTTGGCTGGTGACGCTTTTCACGGTGGCGATGTGGAAGGGCACGAGCAATCCGTAGACAGGCAACAAAACAGCCTCCCTCTTTTGATCGACCTGGATCATCAGCTCCCGAGAGGTCGGAATGTCGTTCACATCTTTGTAGGCGACGATTTCTCCTCCGGCTTTCACCGAGTTGCCCCCGTCTCCGGCTCCAGAGCCTCCCGATGCCAGCCTTCTGGCAGTCTCCTCGTTCTTAGCTCGCGCGAGCTCGGCTTGGTTCTGCCGTCGCAGCTCCTCTTTCGTCATTTCTTGATTGTCGGACCTCAGGGTGGCCATTCTGACGCCGGGGGCTTCGGCCCCATTGGTTTCCGCCTTCACCTTGGGCTTCTTCTCTTCGCGTTCTTCGTCCTCCTCCTCGTCTTTGAACGAGTAGGCTATGTCGGTGAACGATTTGGAGCACTGGCCGGTTGCAATTTCGGGGCCCTTTTCTTGCACGATGACCGTGTCGGCGAGCAACAGTGAGAAATTGCGAGTTTTAGGATCCGTCGAGGTCTCGGCTTGCAGACCGTGAAAACCGAGAACGACGTTGAAGACCATTCCGGCTCTCAGAGTTCGCTCGTTCTTCGCCGACAACGACAGCCCTGACTCTCGGAACTCAATCCCAATTCCTGTCCCGGCATTCTTGGTGAGATGGGGGATGAACTCCGGGCCCTCTTTCTCCACAATCCCTAACGCGGCTTTGTAGACGGCGGACATGGACTTGCCCGGCCTGAGCGCGTTGATGGCAGCTTCGTGCGCCTTCAGAAGCACCTTGTAGGCCTTTTCTTGGACTTTGTCAGCATCAATCAAATACGTTCTTGCGATATTCGAGCAGTAGGAAGTGTACCGAGCGCCGATGGCGCAAATGATCACGCCCATTGCGTCGTAGTACAGAGGCTCCTCGTCACTGACGGCGCTCGGCTTCAGATCGAAGGTGCCCCCGCTTTGGAAAACGGGAGGGTAGCAAATGTCGACGTTCTCGGCTTTCAGCCTCACCTTGGCCTTGGAAGGATCCACAATCACTTCCTCCGTGCTCTCCATGAGCTCGGCGTGCGTTATGGACTTCTCCTCGTCGATGACCACCTCGAGCTTCGGCACGACATAATTTTTCAGCACGGACCAGCTCAGAAACGAGGCCTTCTTGATGTTGGTAATTTCCGACTCATCCTTGACGGCGAACACGTCCGAGAAGCCACCCGAGACATCGACGAGCTTGTAGTCGTAGCCATTGAGCATGTCGGCCCACCGCTCCATGAGAGCGCCCTCGGGGGCTTCCTTGGGCAGCACCCCGACCGAGGGCGCGCCCTTGGTCTTGGTCTTGACGGCATCCAGAATGGAGCGCATCTGCGTGCTGCCATCGTCCGACCTAGCTTTCGAGTGCAGGACGACCTCGACGGAGGTGAGCTTCTTCGAGCTCTTGCGCAGGTCGTCGAGGATTTGGGCTTTCTTCTGGCTGCAAAGAATGTGCAACTGGCCGGGCAAAAACATCATCACCGTCTCGGGAAACTCGTACCCTAGCAGCCAAATGTGCAAGGCCGACGACTTGAGATAGCGCAAATCCTCGCTCGACGGCGCGCTCACCACAGCAATTGCATCGACGTTTCCCCAGCTCTCCTTGTTCTCGTTCCACGATCCATACAGGGCCTTCAACCTCTTGGAATACATGTCCATGTTAATCTGCACGCCTCCGCCTCCACCCCCGCCATCCCCACCCCCGCCTCCCTTGCTCGAGCTCCCCCCCTTGGCGTCTCCATTCCTCGAGTCCGCCATAGTTGCTCCTCCTCCTCCTCCTGCTCCTCGTCCCCGCAATCCTGCGCGCTCTGCAACACCACCCCGTCCTCCTTCCGCCCTGTCAAAAATCTCTTCCGCCTCCCAAACCCTCGCCTACAATTTCTCCCGCCCCTCCCTCCCTAACAATCCCGCCTCTCCTCTCGTCGCCCCAATTTCCTCGTCCTCCTCCTGCGCCCCGACCGCCCGCTTTCGCCGTGCTCAAAAACCTCGTTCTCCTACTCTAGCCTGCTGGAACGAAGAACGGGGGGGAAGTAGGGGCGCTGCAGCGAAGACCCTCCTTCAAGGCTTACGATGAAGAAGCAGCGGCAAAGACAGCAGGCACCCACAGCAGCGTACAACGGGCGAAGGGGAAAAGGGCTCGGGGAGAGGCGGGGGCAGGGAGAGAGAGAGAGAGGGGGGGGGGGAGGGGCAGCGCAGGGAGGGAGGGAATCGAGGAGCGGAGGCGGGAAAAGGGGAAAATGAAAGTCCGATCCCCTAATGAACACGCTATGAGCGAACGGGGGGGAGGGCCTGGGGTGGGGTTCCGCTGCTCAGGCGCGCGCGCGTGCTGGGCCTGCCGCCTTCCCGCGCCTCCTTTCCTAAACCCTCCCTCCCTCCCTCCCTTCCCTCCCTTCGCGCGAGCCGCCTGTTTCGACTTCCGTCCATCGCTTCGCGACCACGGACGGACGACGGACGTTATACATCTCCTCGCACTTGACCTAGAGCAACTTGGGCTCCTGTACCGGCGCACAGACAAGTCAGCTCCGTCAGCGAACAGTTGTTATCCGCCATTTTGTACATTCACATGTCTACCCTCCTACTCCGATTCGTAATAAAGAAGCTAAATTCGCGATCGCTTCGTGGTCAATCTACCTCCTTCGCACCCAATGTGCAGTGTTCCAGCCACCCTCGCGACTAACTCTTACAGGAAGGACGACCTTATTTGTTACTCCCCAAAGTTAACTTTTACGGGGAAGAAATTCTCCGAAAAAATTATCTAGAAAAAGGATGCTTAGTTTTAGTACAAAATTTATCTAGAAAAAGGAGGCTTAGTTTCAGTACATGTAAGGGGTGGGGCGAGAAGAAGACTATGAAACAGCGTTCAGTTCAGGGCCTGTCCGTCTCCGCTATCTTGGGGTTTCGGGGTTTCGTGTCATGCAAATCGAAGCACGCGAGCTGCAGGCAGTGAAAGTCGAGGGGGTTGCGGAGGGGTCGGGGCTCGGGAGGAGATGATGTGGGAAAAAACGGAAATGCGGTAAAAGAGCGGCCGGAAAGATTCTCGAGGTCCCGGGATGGGGCAAGAGTCGGTTTCATTGCGGGCAGAGGCCCGAGTGTCCTTTTCGGGGAGGCGCTTGGGGAGGGGCTCGCAGCGCCGCCACGGGGGCTCGGGGCCTCCTCCCGCTCTACCCCAGGGACGTTCGACTTCCCTCGGTACATGGAGCTTAGATTCTGCAAAATGATAGCAGAATCTTATCTGCCTCCGCCACAACCCCCGCGTCTGCATGCGCGTCGCGCCAACTGAGGGGAAGACGTTGCGCGGCGGCTCTTCTTTTGAGTTACAACGGGCGTTATTTTTGAGTCGAGGTTGTAACGCTGCGACCTCGTGAATCAACTTCCCGACGCTCCCGAAGACTCGACGAAGCTCTCGATACGTTCGCACTCATGGCGAAGGAGGTAGCTTGAGGGCACGGGAAGAGACTTCTGAGGGTGCAGCTTAAGTCTCGAGTCAATTCGATAGTTTTCCTGGTGGTGGGATGATGAAAGAATGTCTCGTAATCTCGACCAGAAAGATTCTTCTTTCGTTCTCAAATTCAACCCAAAACTGATCAGGACGAAAAATTTTCACAGGAAAACAGGCTTCTGGTGATTTTGGGTGCACCAAAAAATAATGGGAAGCTTGGATGATTCGGAAGGGCCGTGAGCCTTCGCTGCCGCCCCTCCCCGCAATAAAGGCGAGGCAAATATTTTGAAAGGTGTGGCAGATTGAAGGAATACTTGTGAGACTTGATGGTTTGGCCCAGGTGATATCCACAGAGCTTCGGCAGGAGATCGGAGAAGGCTAAAAATGCACAGATAGAGACGTGTCACCAGATTTGCAGACCGGGAAGTATAAATGAACGTCAGACTTCGGCTCAAGCCGTATCTAGATAGGTGTATGACCTGTGGTGGTTCAGCCACTTCCCTTTCATGTCAGATTCGTCCAATTCCGGCAGAACAAGGGCTGCAAAGCTGCTCTTTCGTATCCTCTCCCGACGCCCACGACACATGCGCTGTAATTCTTGCATCGACATCATACGACTTTGAGCACAAGTGAGACGTCGATTCAACCGATCTTGCATTTACGACCAGTGTGCAGCACCGGCTTGTCGCACAGCCCAGTGCAACAGGTCATTAGGAACAAAGATGGGAGCCTGGATCAACTTCTTCACATCAGGGCACAACCGCCTTCACATGAGGATATTGATGAGGATATTCTCAGAAATAGATCCTCTCTGATTGCCTGTAAATATGGCCACTCTAGACGACTGGTGTCGATGACCGCAGCCTGTTCCCCAGTTTCTGGCGAATCCTACAGTGAACCGCCTGAGAGTTTTCCTTGAACTGGAGTTTCTTCTCAGATCATATCGGTACTACAAGTGACACCAAAATAGAATCCTGAATTCAGGATTTCATATGCAAAGTATGAGAACTCCTTTGACTAGCAACTGTGTAAAAATTTCTTCGCAAGGTGAGGAGAATTCTGCCAACGAATGCAGGGCAACGCAGTTCAAATATCCCCGTCGACACCAGCAAGGATCGTAGGAGGCTCTGCTTACGCCGATGGATGAGGAAGATGCAGACATGTGAAAATATCTGGTGATGTAAGTTCACAGTAACAAGCAGTAAATTCACCTCGTAAAGCATCGTTGTCATTTGATGGCAATGGCGTCCTTACTACAAAATAGGGTCCTCTTTTGCTCGAATATGCACTGCAAGGTGACGCTCTGACCTTCCCGTCCCCAAATCTTATTTGCGTTCAAAAATGTCGAATGGTAATGGCAACGTTTGAAGTTGATTGCTGGATATGGAAAACAAGAGTACCTTTCTTGAGGTTAGCAGGGGGGATGGCCCTCAGCACGTACTGGCAGGTGGTGAACAGCACTGGAGATCTCAGTGAGGAACTGGCTTGCGATCGTGAACCGGTCACACAAGTAATCTGCAAACAAGAGACACAATTAAAACTCATTCGATACATCCAGAAATGCTACGAAAATTGCACCGATGAGATGTCCGCGTGTAAAAAAGCCATGAGTACCTGTCGATGCTCGAAGCCAAGCCAAGCCATGCCAAGCCACGAGCCTCAACAGTAACAACCAGCGTTAAAAGACAAACATTTAAACAGTCGCTTTTGACCCAAGAGCTTCCCATGTCACTGTAGATTCAGTGACATGGGAAGACTCTGTAAAGCAGGAACGCTGAACCCGATCAAATGGTATATCAACAGAAGTGGTAAACCCCCATGTGAAAGTGAGGAACCACAGAATTAATCCTCCTATTAGAAGACCGTCTTCGACTAACATCACCTGGCTTATTTACCAGACTTTCATGATGTGACCATTGGAAGGAAATACCATCTACGCATTAACAATGCAGCTCATGTGGATACTCTTTCTGGACAGGGAGTGACGTAACTTAGTCGACTCATTCTACTTCAGTGAGGTAGGATTCAGAATTTCCTCGAGGCCAAGCTGTCAGGCTCTCCACAACAAGACATTCACCCGAAAGTTCTTCACACGATTGGGTTCTGCTTTATGTTGGCTGGTCATCTACCATAACTTGCATTTCAAACAGCCGAGGTAAGATAGATGACAAAGCGTCAAAGAAAGTGATGTGATAGCGGTGAGTATGAAGGCCACTACACTCTATTGATGTAAAGCTTTATGGGTTACTGCTTCTGAGAAAAGAATTGGCTGCTCATGTTGTGTGATAGCACTGTATATGAGGGCCAGAGTTGGAATGCAAAAAGTTTTTAGGTGAATGAGTTGCAGAGAGCTGGATTATTGACAAAAAAAGAGCCGACTGGCGAGGGAAGGTCCCGAGCCTTCAGAAGTGCTGCAGAAGTGCAATGAACGTGGGCGTCCAACTCTCAGTAGCAACAAAGGGCATATGATTATCAGAACTTGTACAAGTTCTGATCATTTCTGATCGTTGAAGAAAAAAAATATACAGTTCAAAGCGATGAACCCATACACAGATGTATATAATAGTTGCTCGATGAGCTCGAGCAATCTGCCACTCATTCACGGAAGATTGAAATTTATGCGACATCATCATCGACTGGCGATATGAGTGATGGAGATTTACACACGTCTGACAACTTTCGATCCAGCTTAGGTGGCCAGTGGACGAGTCTGTGCACTCTCAGAGATTGATGTACAGTGATGAAAACTTCACAAAATGATTCGACTCAACTCCAAGAATGGAGATAAGCGAGGACGACATCATGGCAGAAGAATCATCACACCTCCACGCTGTCCAGATTGGAGCGTCACAGCGGAAGAGGAATTCATCTCATCGGCAGGAAGAGGAGATCAGAAGGAACCCGGAAAGTACACATAGAAGTCATTCGACAATTCCCAAGCATACACGAGTAGAACGCAAGAGGCAGATTTCCACATGGCATGGTGGAAAGCGCGAGTCACGTCTACAAATCAAACCATATCCGGGGCATCAGCTCACGAACGGCTGGTGCCATAGATGTCCAGGCGGAAGGGCACTGCGTTCAGGAGGATAAATCATGCAACCGCTTCAAATCATCTAGGGGTACATGTTGGACGAACACAGAAGATGATGCGGCTAAAAGCACTTGCAAGCTGCCGATTTAAGAGGAGCTTTGGGTCGCTCAGAGGAGTTCTTCCCACTCCTATTATTTCATGTGCTAAAGAATGAAGGAGTTTCGAGGGCAGAGGTGAATTTCCACCAAAGACCCAAAGAATGGACAGCGTCGAGACGCCGTTTGATAGGTGAACCTTGGCTATGGGTCCTTTTTCTGGCTTTAAGTAGAGTGAGTGTATGAATCATATTTGAGGTGACTTGATCCGACTTTTCGATGCTTACTGTACAAGCTGCCTCTACAATGGTGATACTGTCAACAGCAAGATAAACTAGATTGCACATAATTGTGTTTTGAGTCTACGAGTAATTCAACTAGCACGTAGCCGAGCACGGTACAGAAAATCTCAATCCCTAATTGACACGAGCCCCACTGCTAGGACCTTACCGTGCAGGTTTCACCAACGGAATGCCCTCGTCTTGATCATCGGTTTCGACGGCCTCCCGTGCTGCCTCCACGTCCTTCGTGCTCTCTTGCGATGAAGCAGGCGGGTTGGGCTTGCTGACGGTGGTCGACTGCTGGTACAGGACTCCCCCGATGATGGTGAACATAAGGCAAACGAGGCCGCTGTTGCTCGCATGCTTGTCCCAGATCAGCACATTGATGACGACTGTCAGCAGCTTGTTCACGACTCCGGTGACCGTAAACGCTGTGGCAGAGATTGCTCTTCTGGCAGCGAAGCCGAAGAAGCTGATGGCCAGCCCGAACAGGCATGAGAGACTGACGGAAATTATGGCAGAAGTATGGAGGAACTTCTCCGACGAAGCTTGGTAGAAGTCGGAATACTCTCCCGTGATCATGAAGAAAAATGGGGCGATGATCAACGACAGCAAGTTGTTGTAGTACACGAAGCCCCAAGTGTTCAGACCAAGATTCGTCACCATGTGCTTGATGTACACCATCTCGGTGGTGATGACCACCAGATACGCAGCCGCCCAAGAGTAAGCCGTGACGCTGAAAGTGGAATCCGTCATCACGTACCCCACCGCTCCCCCCAAAATCACCAGAAGAGCGCCGAAGGTGTACTGCGAAGGCCACGGCTGCTTTCTGAACAAGGTGTCGGCCAGAGCGACGATGATCGGAGTGGACGAACGAAAGACGATGAACGTGTCCACATTGGCGTGTTTCAGCAGATTGGTGTTGGTGAAAATGGCCAGATAAAATACCATCGCTGCGGGCAGGAACTTCTTCACCGTGTCCCATACCAGAGGATCATGGTACACCCAACCTGCTCTCCCGGCGACCACGACTCCTGCCACACTCGTGGCATACTGGAGGGCTGTCAACAAGCCGGGGTAAGGAAAATCCGTGATCGCGTATTTGTTGATCACGGCCAGCAGACTGGAACAAAGCGCATATCCGATAACCACGAATACCGTCGAGGACTTGCCATCTGCCCTGGCTGTCATCGCGCTAGACCTTCAATCCGAGAAGTGAAATCCACTCTCAGCTACCACAATGCTTCGGAATGATCTGCTCCGAATCAGTCGTGGATGGCACAGATAGCCGCGTCCGAGCGTCAGTCACGAGGAAAGTTCTCAAGCGGATGGCACCAATTCGTCCCCTACGATTTAAATTGACCTGAAATTCTTCTGCTCTCGCTCATCTCTCACCCGGCAGAAAGACGATCTCATACTCGGGAGAAGCTCTTCGTTCGGGAAGGCGAACAGGCGAGGGCTGGCGCGAGAGCAGTCTCGGCGGCAGCGATCTATAAAAAATGTGCCACGGACAAGATCATCCTCGTCGCGGGACACGAACGAAATTCCCGGAGCATCCCAAAACGATTCAAAAAAAATAAAGATGGTGGGGGATTCCTCCAGACAGCAGAAGCAAAAATTAAAAAAAGCCGATCCCGACTGTCAACAAAATCTCCAGGGCTGGTCGGCGAATAAAATCCCTCTCCAAACAGCGCAATCAACGTCGTACTTTAGTTTTACACTCGTGCCGACCGACACCCTCCCGCGGCAGCTCCCGCTTCACACAATCTCCTCGTCCTCGTTTCCGCTGCTGCAGCCTCTGCTCCTCTTCCTGCTCCAGCAACGACGACGACGACGACGACGACGACCTCCTCCTCCTCCTTCTCTTCTCGTTTTCTTCCGAATCCGCACCTCGCGCTGATTTTGTTCGCGCTCCTCCCTCTCCCTCCCTCTCTCGCCCTCCTGCTCTTCTTCTTCTTCTTCTTCTTCGGCTTGGGCCTGGGGCTTGGGCTTGGGCTTCCTGCTCTTGTGGCTGCGTTCCTCGTTTCCTTGCTCGTCGCTCGGTGCACGCTCAGCACGTCAAGAAAAGGCGCTTGCCATCTCGGTCCTACGTGCGTAACCCAAGAACCTGCCCCTGCCCCTGCCCTTCCTCCCTCTTTCTTCTTTCACGGGCCCGTCCCCTGCATGGTTCGAACCCTTCCCTTCCCCCACCAACCTGGTACAGTCCATCCCCAGCCCCCAGCCCCAAGCCGGCAGCAACGAAGTAAGTAAGTCGCTGCCCTTTCCTCAGACGAGGGACAAATTCATTCGCACGAGGCGTCCGGGGATCTGATTTTCTATTGTCTGAATTTCCCCAAGTTTTGAGATTTTTTTTATCAAATGGCGAAATGCCGGTTAGTCTATACAAGAGAAATGAAAAGGTTGAAGATGACTTTCTGAATCCATCTTACACCTTTGGCTTCATCCTGTATGTTACTGGAATTGAATTTCATCATGGGTAACAACACAAGTCGAAGACCCTTCAGAGCAAATAGAGAGATTTCATAAAAGTTTAAACCCTTTTGATAGAATATTAGTGGCCAATAGCATGCTTGTACGTAAGGTGTCCAGTTATCTAACGTGGCAACCCTACGTGAACTAGTGAACCATCTTAGCAGCAATTATGAAGAACATACATTCTATGGACTCGTCACGAGGTCTTACAATTTAGTTGCCACAAATGAGTTTTCAAGATACACTTCTTTTCTTCTCTTCTTTTGCCTTGTTGAAATGATTTTTTAAGATATATTCGTAATTCTCTAGAACCTCATCATTAATTCTGGATGGAGCTAAATTAAGGGCGATCCGCTTAAATAAGGTACATTTGAATCTATAGGACCATTTCCAATGTTACAAAATAAAATGATAGAAATCGACAGAAAATATCGTTGACCCAGATAATTAAAACAATTAAAACTTGATGGAGCGAAAAATCGTATACTTGTGAAGATTCTTGGATATGCGAGTCGCAGGAGAGAATCCGGGTGGCCGCGTGGCGCGCTCGACGTGAGCCGAACCGGAGCCACGCGCGTGCTCTTACGGTGCTCCGTCGACGAGCGACGCGCACACGACGAGAGCACGAACTGTAGTGCGGACGGGGACAACAAATGGCCGATTCTCGGAAGCAGCGCCGCGAGTCACTCCCCGGGACGTGGCCATGGTGGGCGCCGGGGACGGAAGGCTGGCACTGACCGACCCGTCCGAGCTTCAACGCTCCGTCGGACGGCAGATGCGGCATCTAGCATCTAGCTCGCACCAACATCCATCCAATCATCCTTCTATCTTTCCTTCCTTCATTCCTTACTTCCATCCATCAAGCCGTCCTTCCATCCAGTTAAGGGGCTGCCGACAGACGGCGCGTCCGGTCAAACCAGACGTTTCGTTCTTGAAAAGCACCTCCCGCCAGCGACAACGGCTCAAGTGGGTCCTTTTGACGCGCTCCTTGTCCAAGCCTCGGACACACAGAACTGGAAACCGGTCTCGTCTGATTTGGCAGCCTCGGCCCTAGCCGGTGACCGGTCACCTATCCCCGGTCACGCCCCGGCTTCCAAGAGGAGCAAGCTGCCGTCCACTGTCCCGAGCCCGGTCAACAACAGACCCGCAACGGTCGCTCCCACCCCCTGGGCCGGCCCGGAAGTCGGAATCCTGGATTCGCCCGCGAATCTCCTATAAGGGGAAGCGGGGGTGGGGGCGGGGACGTGGGACCGCTGCGGTCCTGGTTACGGTGGGGAGGAATTCATGCGTTGCACGGCGAGGCGCAGCCGAATTCGTGGACCTCGTCCTCTTCGGGTTTCTTCGATTTCATGGTGTTGACTGCGACCCGGAAAGTCGTAGTCTTAGAAAGATACAAAGCACGAGGGCTTCGTGCAAAATTTTCCAGTTCGACGATTGCTCCATGTGCACCCTCGGTTCCGAATGTGGCCGAAGTCAGCCATCTCTCTCAACGCTCGAAGTGTCAGCAAATCTGGCCCCCGAGGCCACATCACGAGACACCGAATCACACCTTCTGCGCCCTCAACCGTAAATTCTCGAATTGCAGTGCAGTACGATATCGAGACCATATATGGCCAAAGGGAGCCCAAGCCGCAGTCACACGGTGAAACAAGGAAGGTCCTAATGTCTTTCACAGTGTCTGTAACTCCTTATTTTGCAGACCATAATAATCGCAGACTTATCCACGACGAGCGTCGCGACTCGACTCGACACAAAAGCATGGATCTTCTTTTTGACCTCGTCTCGTCCATGGGCAGCACAAATGTCAACATATCGGATCGGCTTAGGGTGGTGTCTACTGGTTAGTGCTGCGTGCCAATCCGTTATGATTGCTTTCGTATGCGGTTTTGACACTTACGACCATCTCATTGGAGCGCGCACCTGCAAAAATTTCGGTAAGAAATGTACAGCATAGCAAAACGATGGAGAAGATGTGGAGATAGCCCAAATTCCATCGTCGAGGGACACCATTCTAATGTATCGGACATATCCAGCTATCTCAGTGTAGTGGTCTGCGTTATACAGAACATACTGAGAATAATCATTTAACAGGTTTGATTTTTAGTGAATTATATTTATATCGTTGTATGCAGAGAAATGGTTAAATATTATTCAAAAAAATAATTACAATATACGAACTGGACAGAGAGCTAAGAACTTCATATACTTTCAAAAAAATTTAAAATCGTTATCCATAGATTATAAAACGTCCAAAATTGAAGTGTTATATATGTATATAAATATATATATATATAGGAATGAGTTCTTTGCGTATCCCCATATTTAGAAACATTGAGATACCGCTAGTGAGCTCCAAGATTAGTTAAACTCTTAGAGCTGTATTTCTCTATGATAACCTTAATAATACTACTGATAATATCAATTACGTCCGTGCATATTATATTAGAGTAGCGGTTTAATAAATAAGGATCTACTATGTAAGAGATTACCAACCTTCTGTTTTACCGCGCTACTGCGGGTTCAGGGCTTCCCCTTGACATCAGTTTTGGTCTCTGGTCCGTTGTCTTTGCTATGGTCCGGTGCGTTGCCCTTTCCTGGTTATGAATCTCATCGACTGCTCCGGTGTTTTGTAAGGTTTGTGAAAACATTCCTCGATACATTCCATCATTGCTGCTCCAGCAAATGGCGTTTCTCCGGGCAGGAACCATTGACCCAGTCCTCAGGGAAGCGAACATTTCTCTAGAGTCGACTCTTCGAATATTTCCACCTGGAATCCATGATTCTGATTTTAGAATGTCGGCAAAACAATGAGCCACCTGAACAGAAAAAACAAAAGAAACTAGATACTCATAATAATACTATATAGAATTTTTGATAAAGAATCAAAGACTCATTTTCCAAATCCGGAAAATACAAGAAAAGATGCAAACCGAGAGCCGAAAGAAAAGGAGCCCCTGTGCTGTCTCTTACATGCTCATTCTCAATTTTGGTCATGATTGAATTTGTAGAACGAGCGTGACCTCTCAAAATTTGCTTTCATCTCCATAGCAAGAGGCCGAATCAAGCCCGAATGCAGAAGAGACTACGAGACCAGAAACTGAAATTACTGGAGATTTGACTTTGTGCTTCATGTCGTCGGCGATAAGAATGATGATCACCTACGTTTGTAAAAGGGGTTCAGAGTACTTTACAGTTTCTAAGTCGGTCAACTTACGAAACGTATTATCGCTTTTGGGCGTAGCTGAAGAGTTTGGAGATGTCGAGATCAGGTGCCTTCGGAACTCATGGAACTGAGTTGTCATGCCCCAAAGCACGTACGTGTCAATTGCGATCAGAGTTCCATTTGTTCGTTTTCATTCATCCCTTCCTTCCTGCGCATTCTTTTCTTTTGAGACTTTACGCTTTCGCCAGCGTCGGGCTTGAACTAAGACTCTGCCACGTTTGGAAAAGTCGACTTTTTATTTCTATGCTACACCATAACTCGGAATTTCTCACCAAGTGTTTGAACATGTATGGCATTCATTTTCTTCGTCTCTTAGAGTTTTTCTGGTAACCTAACGCTGAAAGGAAATTCTTCACGGGCCAATAAATTTTCACATTTCTCTATTCATTTTAGAGAATAATCTGTATTTGATACACAAAATTTGATTTCAATTACACAAAATGTTGATACTGACAACTTTTTTCGCGTTTACCTCGGTACCCCATGAGTGGATAGCAAGTTTCATGTGAGGTTCTATTGTGTTCTCGATCATTACTGGGACGAGTGTACATTAGATGGCATAATTGAAAGATTTAAAGATAGAACGGGACATCGCATTCAAACTTTTTTCCTCTCCTTGATGCAAATTAATATAAATCGAAGAGAGACCAATTCTTTTATTAAATTTAGCACGTGTTCATACGGCCCGTCAGAGAAAATCCGGGGACGCGTGGGTCCAAAGCATAAAATGCAATAACAAGCGAAACAGATGAAGCTCAAGTGCACTATCTCCTCGCCTCTTCACCAGCTAATTTTTTTCCAGAGATTCTTAGTTCCTTATCAAAGAAATACATAATGTGCGACGAAAGAAAGCATTATAATATTATGGTGAAATCGCACAAAGAAGATGGGAACTCGTGCTCGAAGTACATCACATGAATGGCGTGGTGAACTTGGCATATTCAAAGCTCTTCAGTTTCTCCAGAAATTCAGCATAGAAGGTTGATCCACGGCACTTAAAACGGCTGTAACGCCAATTCTTTAAGGGGGTGGACCTGACCAATTAAAAAACATGCACTAAATTGAGCACATGGGTGATGGGGTGTAAATCCTCAATAAACAACGAGGTGCTGAGTGGTAAAACTAGATGACCAGGTTGACGGGGACTGTTCCTTGTTTCATTGCCTATCGATAGGAGGCTCCAATAAGCGTACCAAATTGGTATTCTCCAGACAAAATACATTCATGAAACTTTGATAACATTCCAAGATAAATGCCTCCAGAAAGTTCTTCTGTAGGTACGTCAGAAGGGTTGACAACCCAAGCAGCCCCAAAATTTATACTACAATTCCAACTTTTCGATCCTGAGAGTCAATATCATTCACGTGGATCAGCAGTTGTGGTCAGCTTTAGAGCATATAAAATGGACGTCATTAGTTTTATTGCCATGCAAAGACTCTCAAACGTTCGCCTTGCAGATATCGGTGATAAAACACGTTTAGCAGTCACATAAGTATTAATCACGTCAATCACGCGGTGAAACACAAAATTGGATAGCGTACCACAAACTCGTAAAACCTCGTATACATTGGTTGACAATTCGTCTCATTTTGGTGACATATAAGTTGATTTCTTCCCGGCTAGAGCTTTCATCCTACTCTTACTGAATGATAATCTACAAAATTGGTGCCAAAACCAGTCATTCTTGCCTGGAGTTACTTTCTCTAGACAATGGCCTGTAGGTTCTTATCTAGAACCTTGGCAATTTGTGCTTCTGTGAGCTCATCGAATTTCCCTATCCTGTTACGGGCAAGTAAAATTGTTAGGCAAAATAAATACTTACACAAGCAAAATACACCACGCCGACAATATCTTGAATATGGCAAGTATACCGTGTCTTTTCGAGAATCGAGTCAACAACTCTCTCAACCCAAGCGAATGTAGCGGAGTTATACACAATTCTCTTGGAAAGAAAGAGTTTAGTTAATCGAGACTCGAACTGAAGTCTCCCATATTTTCCTAGTAATCTATGAAGCAAAATGAGAAAACAATGCCATTGCTATAATGTTGTGTACTAAAACAACTCACACCTAAGACATTTAACAGAACTCGACGAAATCGGAATAAACCCCAAAGAAAAGCTAATATTCATGTGATGGATCGAAACCAGCTGACTCCACATTCCAACTAATACAGAGGTCCTTACCCTAGTTTGCGAGAAAGCCTGAATCCACCGATGCGAACTCGTTTCAATGCAAGGACCTACAAAAAAAACGTTTAAGTCACACGAGATGGACACTCTAAAAATAGAAAATCGCTGCTAAAAAGATATACTAATCAGGATACCTTAGCTCAAGCGTAGATTCTAATACAACAACCAACGTATTCTGAAGCATTTGGGTTCCAAACATTTGGTCATTAGCATTATGCGCCATCAGGTATATCTTGACTGCCTTAAAAAGGTCATCGGGAAGAAAAATACCTGCAAACCTGCATCTTCAACGAGATGACGAACTTCATGATTACGACCTTCACTCACCTACACAAATTCGCGTCACGTGTCAACATCTTCAGCGCAACAGAAAAGTTCTCAACGAGCGTTAAAGCTTCAACAAAATCCAAACCAGTGATTCAGCTCTTGCTGATCTGCGACTTTGACAGGGTATAAAAAAATCTCCAATTACAAAAGGGTGAACAAGTATCCGTGACAAACCACTATCTTGATCCTTTGGCGGGTTTCACCAGGTTCCATGTCCATCGGTTCAACGAGTGTAGGCACGCACTTAACTCCCTGGACCAAAGTTCCTTCACCGATTGCTGCGAGTTGCCTTCTAGTCACTTTATCATTAACTGTGACAATGTACCTACGCATAAAAAATCAATGCTGTTATAGGACTGGCTCCATAAGCAGGTTCCATGCACCAAGACAGATCCACGTTGTCCAACATTCCAGCCTTTGTAAGTCTCTGAGCAGAACGAGAACTTACTCCTTGGTCAACCCGGACGATGGATGAGACACCTTGTTTGCGAATTCTCCTGATAAGACGACAACAAACAGTTGACATTCCATGAGATATATAAAACTAGCTCAAATTTTGCGAATTTCGGCTCAACACACTATCCTTTGTAATGCCAGAACAAAACAGAGCGTACAATCAAAATTGTTTACCATCATTCGTCACCAGCAAGAGTCCGGAGGTTGCAACATCAAGTCGTCCAACCGTGAACATCCGAGGCCGAGATAATCCCGGATTCCTTTGAGCCTGCATATGTGTAACAAAATGACCATCGAAAGCGAAAGTCGAAGGGAATGATGCGAGTCAGTCTTCAGTTACTAGGAAGGGCACTCACGGATCTCTTGAAAGTTGCATCACAAAAAAGAGTCCCGCGTGATGCAAATAAAATGAGTCCAGTAAGATCCAAATCTCAGTTTGAGGGCTTCACATTTTAACACAGGAGGCAGAATCTGGTAGTATGCAATCTCTTCCATCAGAACTACAACTTTAGACAAAGTAAATGTGTGACTCACCCAAACTTTAAAATAATCGTCAAAAAGAGATAAAACAGGTTTCATTCCTTCCTCCACGCTCGAGCAGATGTACCTGTTCAGATAGCTCATTACTTTCATGTCATGGCCTTACTCAACTGACACTTTACATTCATGGACACACTGTACATAGACGCATGTGTTGACTATTCATATCGAAAACTCTGCTTCTAAGAAGATGTGTACCAACAAACAAAAGTAGCTCCTGCCAGAAGAACTCGCAGCAGCAAATGTAAACAACAAAAGGCAAGTGCAGTTCGACATACCCCTTAGGCTTGTTAAGGGCAAAATACATTTTCGTCGCCATCTTCTTGGGGAGGGAATTGCCGTCCACATATATGATGTCTTTCAAAGGGTCCACAGGAGTCTAACAGAAGCCCCAAGACAGCAAAACAAATGAGATGATGGATCCACAGAGAAAAGAAGAGGACTTGCGCGACCGTAGATGTAAGATTGAAGACAATGTACACATCATCTCGTCACCTTCTTGTAAAATTACAGTTCCTTTAATTTTCGGGACCAGAAGACTGAAAGGGAGTAAACTAGCGTAAACCATTCGAGATTTGACCTTTGATCAGAGATTTAATTTAATTTTTTGCCGAGACAATTGTACTGATGACATTCTCATGGACTCAGTGCAAAGGCGAAACCTCGTGAAAAGGAAATCAGACGTAAAGGAGCAAATAGTCAAAACCAAAACCTGCACAAACCTGTGGTACAGTGCAGACTTTTCCATTGACGGACACACGCCCTTCAAATACTATCGCTTCGCTCGCTCTTCTGGAGGCCACTGCAGTGTAAAGAGGTAGTGATGAATCAAGACATGGTGGAAGAACAACAGCTTAATTATCAGAATTCCAGACTACTAAATTGAGAGTTCAAGCTCCACTAAAGATGCTCGACAAGCGTTGCTCTATCACAACTACACAGCGCAGCAACTCCTTTTAAGACTACCTCCGGCAGCGGCGAGTACTTTCGCGAGCCTCTCAGGCTCTCGAAATTTCTCATTGTAGAATCTTCTGGCTGCCTTGGAATACTGCGGCGGTCCTGATGGCGCTTTCGCTGCAGGGCCTCCTCTCCTCAGGTTTGTTGTGGTTTCTTTAGATGTTGGGGAGGACGGAGATTTTACAGCTGCAGGGCTTCCTCTCCTCGGGTTTGTTGTGGTTTCTTTAGATGTTGGGGAGGACGAAGATTTTACAGCTTTTGGCCTAGTACGGTCACCGCCTTTCGCAGCATCCTCCCGGGGTTTAACATTACTCGTAGAAGGAGCTTTGGCAGACGATTGACTTTGCTTAGAGGTATTTGGACTGGAACTGGTCGAAAGAGGCCTGCTCGGATTCGAACTACTGGACCTCGTGCTGCTGGGCATGAAGCTAGGTCCCCCATTTCCGATTGGTCCAAAACTGATACTTTCACCTACCCTGGCTGTTCTGATAACTACATTGCCTTTCTCATCCCTGTCTAGCACGGGAATCCCGATGGCCTTTTTAGGAGCACTTGGAGCAGAGTCTTTGCCATCACTACCTAATGCGCAGGACAATTCGGGCAGTCTCCAATTCGAACCGCCCTTCTTTTCTCCATGGGGGACTCGCCAAAAACATTTGTTCCGCCCCAATCTCAACCCTAATCCTTCTCCACGTAAACCAGCTGGGAATTGCGAAAGTAAGAAATTTGTTGCCGGAGAATTCGTACACCAAGACGGCACAGCTCGCATGGTAAGCGTGCAAGCGATTGTCACCGCTCCTCCGGCCATCTTAAACAACCTCCAGTACAAACTAACAAACCATCACAATCATCTGCCAATCCCCAAACTTCACAAAAACCAGAGATTCTTCACCCCTCCGCCCTGCCCTGCAACCGAACTTCACAAAATCTAATTCTAATAACCTTCACAACCGCCGTGATAAAAAAATTCTCCTCGTGGTTACAGCGAGCGGAGAGTCGAGTCCTCCTCTCAGACCTCCGGCAGCCATCGCCCCGACTTCTAGGATGTAGTGTGTCCACCACAAGCACAAAACCCAAATTCGAAGACACACTTTAAGAATTCTCCAGAAAATCTGTGCCCACCTCTTACGAAGAACAACCCACGATTCGCCGTCTGCCACTTTCCCTGCTCGCTTCTACTTCGTCCTCGACACTGCGACCGGCCGAGAAGCCACTGCTGCCAATGCTCCTGCGTTTGTGGATAGCGCCAGGGCGGTCGCAGACGAGAAGCGGGGGCCGGGCCGGGTCCCACCATGGACCTACGCCTATCGGGTCCCACGTCTATGTACGCCTAAGATCACTCACCCCGGACCTTCTGAAGAAATAATTTCCCCGTGCTCATGGACTCTGGGGCTAAGGGTTTGGCGACATGTCACGAGGGAGATGAGGATCCTCGAGGCTGTCCTTGCCATTTATGGGCCTCCTCCTCCTTCTCTTTCTCGGATTCTTCTTCTTCGCCATCAAAGGCACCGCACGAGGAGAGAAACCCAGACTTGGTTTCCCTCTTCGTGTAGGGCCTTTGCTGGCGGGTTCGGATTCTTCTGTGGTGCAGTCTGTGAGTAATCACAGACATGGAACCGAAGACTTCCGTGCAGTAGTGTAGTGTTGGCTTTGCGGGGGTGGGTTGGAGTGGGTTAGGGTTCGGGGTTGATCGAGGACTACCGAATCCCTGCAGGACCAAGAATCTGCATATTTCTTGCTACTCGTGGGTTGCAGTTGGGGGTAGAGCTGCAGCCCATCGAGATCTGTGTGAATGAGCATGCGCTTGCTCCGACAGGTGTTTTGGATCGAGTTCATCGTTTGTCGGATCGGAGTTCGCGATTACAGAAGTAAGATTACTATCGTCAACTACACAGACCCTAGGAATAGACCCTTCAAGCTTGCCTCCATTTTCATCTCCGCAACAGAGTCGCGTTTCGCAGTGGGGATGCGTGCTTCTTTGCTGGGCGTTCCCATATATCCCCACCTTCCAAGCCTGGCCTTTTCACTCCTTCACAACATCAATACCTTTTGGTAGTATACTGCTCGCTGATGTATCACCCATTGTGTAGACTCTGAAGAATACGACCATGTGGACATCCAATGATCATCCCTTTCTAGGTTTTCTATTCAAGTTTGCATCTTCGGCAAGTATCAGTACAGAAACTTGGAATCAACGAGGGCGAATAATGCAGTTCATGCCATGCATCCCACTAGGTGATTCGCAAGACTCAAAACATGTATGTGTGTCGCACACTTTCGTGAGAACCAGTGCTTTCTTCTGGCATTCAACTTGAGGCAAACCCTGTGAACTTCATGCACTGCACCAGTCCTCGCAGTTTATGAGTACGCTAATGAAAGAAGAAAGCATTGATGCCGCATTTCTCGAATTTGCAATAACCCCTGCACAAAGACAGCCAATTAACTTCTCCAAGGACAAGTTCTCCATGCATCTTGCACGATAGCACTGTACGATGAAGCTTTTTCATACAAGTACTGATTCACACCACGAATACTGTTGTTACCCAGTCGAGCCAAAATAGCCTAGGCCAACAAATTGACGCGACACACGGAATAGGAAGCGCAATGTAAAACAACCATATTGCTACATTTCTTTCGAAGTCATTGATTACATTTCCGAGGATCCGGACCATTGACATAAAGAAAAACCAGGTCGGGATACTGATAGATTTCCAACTCTTTCGGTCGCCCAGAGTGTACCAAAGTTCCATCTACTCGAGCGGCATCACGAACTCCTGTTTATGTTAGTCGCAAATGTGGGTTCAGTGCCGAGTGCGCTCGAATCCATACAATGACAGTGTACAGATAACGGTCATGTTCTTCAAATCCAGATGAAAGATTTGCAACCCATCCGCCCTGGAGTTTGATAAAGACCTGTCCGTGTAAGCAGAGGAAGCATTAGGAGACTCTTCAACTACGTCTAATTAACCTGCAGAAATAAGAACCTTCGTGAAGACTATCCAACAAGATCTTGCTTCCGAAGGTTGTGAAGATACTCTTCCTGCAACCAACTCTTACGCCTCTGCAACAGAAACCATCCACGGGTAAGAAAATTTCCACACTGCCAGACAGAATCTTGAGATATTCTTCCCGATGGTAGAACTTCCAAGGACTTGAAAGGCTTTCAGTATTAAGGAACAGCAGCAAGTACAGCTTCCATATTAGATTATCTCTAGTGATGTTAGAACTGCTGAGGACTTACACAAACTTTGACCGTTATGCAACAACATTATGCTAGGAGCAATAACATGGTAAACTAACACACCTCCAGCCAAGGATGGATGTGATCTTAAGTCGATTCAAACAGGCATGCTCTTCAACTCACACCTCCTTTGGTCCCCTGGGTTTGGACATATTGTCATCATATGAATCCGAGTGGCAAGATTCTGAAGCTCTTTCAGTCGCTCCTGACGGCTGCTCCCTTGAGATATGACCATTCTCTCGCACTCTTTCTTCAGGTTTTCCTTGAGATGACTGCATATAGGTACATGATTTCCTTGGTCAATGAAGTCAAACTTGACAAAATAAGGCAGCCAGCTGACATTTAACACACTGGAGTGCAGAGAATTTTAAAGGACAACATTATTCAACTACGCTTTGAAAGGAAATCAAATTTAACAGGCATGTGATATATACCTGCCCTACAGAATCGTGTTTCTGTGGGTCATTTATACTGTCAGAGGAACCCACCCAAACATCCCGATTTCCTTTTGCATGCTTCGATTGTGGTGGCATATCCGTTGTCGAGCCATTGCAAGAGGCTGGTTCGTGCTCCACCTTGACGACCACCTTACTATCAACAGTAAGTGTCCGAATGGCACTCTCAGGCTCCATGGATGAGCTTATAATAGGTTTCTCTACCTCTTCCTCTCTAAGCCTTTTGGATCCCACCGACGTCTGTTCACTAACTACTTTCGTATTCACAGCAGCACTGCTATCACAATCTAAGGATCCTAATTTCTTTAAAGATGACCCAACTCCTGGATGGCAGTCGCACCCCAAAGTTGAAGACGCAGTCAAATCGCAAAATGTATCATCCACCTTCTCTGTTATTTCCATTCCCAATCCTTCAGTAGACAGCATTAATTCCCAAGCTGCCGTCGACACTTTCTCCAAGACGGAAGAACTGCGGTCCACATAAAATGGTCAGTCACTAGTAAGATCTCTGCAGAAACTCCGGTTTGATTGCAGTCATTCAATAATAACAAACATGAAGAAGAAGGAGATAAAACAAAAACATGCAAAGGGAGCCAATACCTGAGTTCATTACGAAGGTCCTCCATAAGCTGTCTTCTGCTTTTAGTCTCAACATCCGAATTTCGAAGAACCTCACTATTCTCAACCAAAGTTAAAATATAGCTTTTCAGATCATCCTGCCATCACAATGAGTTCCATCAATATCACGATGTATAACCTTTGTATGTATCTAAACATGAATGACTTCGAATCAGAAGTGTGCACATCAATTTATATTTTTTCTGTTCAACTATAGACCAGAGTCAGGCATCGTTTGTGAGCTGAAAAGGAAAAACCCCCATGCGCAATCCCTAGAAAATACACCATATCTTCAAGACGTTATATTTAATGGTTGGAGGACCCTGAGGACATACTGCTAAATGTAAGAGTGAAAACATGCCTCTGCCATTTATACGACTCTTGCCATCATAATATGTGACAGTATAACGCTACGAAGTTTCGCAGTATGTCTAATTTTGAGTTATGATAGGAACGAAACTAAAGCTGAAAGCCAAATCAAGTTCGTTAAGAGCTGCAAAAGTGGACGGGCAAGAAAGAAAGAGTGATTGAGACTGTGATGGAACATCAGTGAAGAGCTCAACGAGAAAATAAGTCTAGGATTCATTAGTCTCCCTCTAAATCAAAAAGTATTCGCTACGAGTCACACATAGCCAACAAAAGCTTGATGAAAAGTAGATATATCGTCCGACACACAAGGGCGAATGATCCCCAGATTAAACCTGACGATTCATCGGAGTCGATTCACAACGTTAGTGCCAACATACACTTGTCCGTTTGAACCCTGTGACCTATTTTTCTTTTTCTTGTATTTGAGTCACGGACCTTCAATAGGTAAAGAGTATTTCTATCAAGCAAGCTATGTGTAATAAGTGCAATGCAAGGCCTCAGCTGTACCTAAAGTTGACCATCTCAATGAGATTATCAACTGAAGGGGTGGGCACAACTCAAATATGTTTTATACTTTGAAAGAAACTATCAAGTTTGATCCCTTTGGCGGGACTCCAGGTTCAATTCTTCTGACATAAAAAAAAAGGAACAAAACGAATCTTCTACATAATCAGCCTCCAAAAGTATCAAATTTGTGCTACACAATATCATGGTAAGTTAGTTCAGTGAACGAGTTATCCTGTCTTGGCTGGGAGAGGTGACAATTCGCTGCATGTGACAGTCCTCGTTAATGCGCAATGTATATCAGATCTACAGCTACAAATAAAGTAACCACTGTAGGTACTTAATGCACTAACAGACCCGTCAGTAAAGAATATCCGCCGCTTCCGAAATTCTTTCGTCATCGTTGACAGGAATCCGACGTAATACTGCTTGTAATTGATCGGGAATAAGCACTGGTTATAGCTAGATATGAATAACGGAGGAGAAAAGCACTACATTATTGAAAGACTGAGAATGATGCCAGACGCGATAGATACAACAGCTCATCGATAATTGGAGGATTATCGTCCAGCTGATGAAAATTAGACTAAGAAGAGAGAAAAAAATCAGTGAAAATTTGACGAGCGAGAAGACAGTGATGACAAACGTGGAAGTCCAAGTGAACACTGGATGAGGGGCGCACTTCAACATTGACTAACAGTCACGGTGAACAGATATAGCACATAAATCAAATTATTTCTTAACATGATTTATTATGTTCCGTGTACGACAATACAACGAGGTAAACAAACACTGTCATTCTAAATACAATTGTTGCGGAGTGAACTTCCTGCAAGACCAAAGGTGGAGTCCGAAAAAATTATTTCACAAACAATCTCCCGGGCACAACTCTGAAACCTCTGGTTATGTGAGAGGTTGTGACATCAGAATCTTTCTTGCTGCAAGAAGTAAGGAACCCTAATCACCTATAAAAAAACTGGACCATTTATCTGGAGCATCGAGAGGCCTCTTTTCTGCCGTCCGAATAATGCTTGGGAAAACACCCAACTTCTAGATGATGTTGCGCCAAGGGTGTCTCTCTCCATTCTATCCAGCTAGGACTTTCATGACATTGGAATTTCTCAGCAGAGATGAACGAAATCTGTTGTCACGATCAAGCGAAAGAGGAACTCTTACACATCTTAGTGAGAGAAGTGCGCCCACTTTACCAAATGTTTTCAATGAATTGGCTCATAGAGAATGAGAGGAAGTAAAAGGTCTTGTACGTATGATGAGAACAGAGCAAGAGAACTCACATTTGACTTCAAATTAATAATCAAAGAACTTCGCAGATTATCGAAGGTGCCGTCGTACATCAACTTATCAAGCACATCTTGGGGCTTCACAGTCGGGGGCACAGTCGGGGGATTCTCAGGCTCCATAATTCAAAGACAAATTCCACAAAATCGCCGCATTCTTTCACGTGCTCTCACGTGCTCGGCCACTCACAACAGAAGCACTGCCCCCCACCCGGAATACTCATTGCATAAGAAAAAGGCTCCTCCAATCCTCCGAAACCTTCAGCTTGACTCTCGTGCCACCAGCCATGAATTGGACGAAACCTGCTACCATCCGCTTATACACACCCAATCTGATCACATCCCAACCCATCCGCTTGGAGCAATCACGAAGCCCCCCGCTCGACACTGTCATCTCGTGAGAAACACAGGAACACTATGATCGCCTCTGCTTCCGCTCTCCACAATGACAAGTGCATCGCATCCACCTGGCATCACAATGCTTCTCACGCTCATGATTTCGAACTTCAAATGACCTGACAGTGAAAACTCCTCCACTTTAGGTTCTGCGCAGAATACTGACCCCACGCAAAGCAGAGGGAGACTGGCAAACAAAATTCAAGAAGAAACTACGCTCCGTACTGCAATTAAGACCCCAGGACGAATGCCCGACGATCTGCCGTAGAAACACGGGGGAGGACGAGAGAGGGAGAGACAGACAGACTACGTGAAGAACTTCGCGTTGGAGGATCCGATTGCAGGTCTCAAGGTTTGCAAGGTTTGTCTGCAGCAGATTAGAATCTTCTCGAGCTACGAGAAGTAGAGCTCGCGATTTCACACCAGCCTCCCCCAGGCGCGCCCTTTTCAGCCCTCTCTTCTTTTCAAACGAAAGGAAAAGGCGATTTAGAATATTTTACCCCCGCAAAGTTAGACATCTTTGTAGCAAAAAATGATTGCTTTGCTAGAAGACGATCTACAATCGGCACTGGATTTTGGCAGAATTGTGCACATGGCTGTATTCAGCGCGATAGTTTAAATAAATTGTTTAGCTTTCTAGATTTTATAATTCGACTTTAGGACTCTCCTTCTTGTCCTCTCCAATGTAGGAATCAAGGCATTAATATTTTCCTATTTAAAAAATCTATTAGGGAACAGAGCTGCGCTCACCGCTAGGTCTTAACCGCCGCAAACATTTTTAAGGAACATTTTGTGTAAATAAAATTCATAGGCTTCATCTTATAGATTATCCATGAACTCAATGTTTATGAATCATGTTTATGTTCATGTCAATGTAGATTAGGAAAGTTAACTAACACTAGCGAATAGGCTTCGTAAAAAGAGGTGGCCCCCCATTTGGCGAAATAGAAAGATGCAATAACATTCATAATATCATTACTGGTAAGAACACAAATCACTCTTCATTACCCTTTTCGTCTCGTGATGGAAAAATCATATGGAAGGGATTCCAAAGAAATTATGAAAGAGTTTCTGTTGATATTAACTCTCTTCGATAGAAATTGTGTTGTGCCTTGATTTATCTAAATTTTAATATTAATTAATCAAAAGCACCCATGCGTATACCTTGTTACGACTTAACCTCTGTCAATGGCCCGACCTTGGTATATATATGTAGGTTCACGTAAAATTCACATATTTCTCCAATCCCAAAATCAACGAGTTATATAATATTGGTGTTTATTTTTCAAAAGGGGCATATCGTAAAACCCCAGGGCAGTCGAATGGCTCCCCTTCCGCCGATAATTCATTTTTAAAACAATACTAAAATCAGAAGGCTCAGAAGGCCCGCGCTTGGCTCCCTGTCACCTGTTTCCCGGCGGGGTGAGCTGGAACAGGTGAAGATCTCAAGAAGTCAGCAATATAGCCCCTCAAATGAGTGACCTCAGAAGGATAATTAAATCGCCATTAAAAAAATGGAGGACTTTTGTGATTCGCTTGCAGGGGCAGCGAAAATTCGAGCTCAAAAGGCACAAAAGTGCAAGCTCGGAAGGAAGATCGAGGTGGCGCCGGCAACAGTACGGTAATCGACGAAGAAGCGCGCGGAGTACATCTCCGGTACGGCCGTAGAGCCGGTTCAAGGGACGGTATATTCTCCAGGGCATCTTCGAATCCTCCGCGCTGCGCCGGAGGGCGTTGAAAGGCGGCAGGCGCGCGTCGTCGCGTGGATTGACGACGCCCGCAACGCGACGACGGGAGCAGGCGCAATCAAACCCGACGACGACTTCTCCGCGCCGCGGAATAAAGGCCGCCGGGTGCGCGCGCGACCGGGCCCGGCGCGACATCGCGGGTCGCAGGCCCGCGGCAGGAGGCGCGAGGTTTCTTCGGCGGGACTCTCGTCAGTCCGGGCGCAGGGTATTCAGGCGCCGGGACGGGGGAGGATTGGGGCGGTTCGGTGAGGGAGGCGAGGCGGGGCGGGGCGGGCACGAAGGTCGCAGGGGACCCACGGGGGCAGGGCAGGGCAGGGCAGGGGGAGGAGGGGGGGTTGGGGCTCCTTCGGCTCGGCTCGGCTCGGAGGCGCAGATCGTGCGCTGCAGGGGCTGCTTCGTGGTCGTCGGGTCTCGTCTCGTCTGGTCTCGGCGGGGCTCGCTGGCGTTCAAGAGGAGAGGCCAGCACGGGCGGTCCATTTATTGTTCGCGACCGAGGATTGACGAGCAGCAGAAACGCAGGGCGGAATCGCAATTTTGTAGGTGGGCTCCTTAATTGTGCGTTAAGTTTAGTCGTCGGTTGGGTTCGATCGAATAATCGAAGCGAAGCGAGGCGAGAGCGCGCGCACTCTCCAGTGTCTCTCGTCTCTTGTCTCTCATCTCTCGTCTCCTCTCGACTGCACGAGATGGAAAGCGGGCGGAGATCCGAGCGAGGAGGGGCAGCGTGCAAGTATTAAGCCCCGACGGTGGGCACGAATGCGGCCACGGGGAAAGTGAAAGCGAAAGCGAAAGTAGGCGGGTCGATCCGCAAGCGCAGAGAAGCGGTGTGACAGGTCGAGAGGCAGCCACACAGACGGGCGCACGCACAGTCGCAGAGGGAGGACGGGGAGGGAGTGCGAGGGCGGAGGACGAGGACGAGGAAGAAGAAGAGGAAGAGAGGAGAGGAGGGTGAGTAGGGATTCGACGAGATGGAGAGTCAGGGGAGTTTGGCGCTGATGTGGAACGAGTCTCCGCTTTTATGGAGGTCGGTGTATGTGTTCATCGCGGTGTATTTGTTCGGGTACTTCGTGGTGTTCAGGAACTGGAAGGGCAGGCCGAGGTACGATGCAGCGAGTTGCGGCATCTCGCTGCTGCACGGGACGCTGGTGGCAGTTCTGGCAGCGCGGGACCTGTGGACGGCGGAATGGAAGCTTGATGCGCCCAACACCGACATGCAGAACAAGATCATGGAGTACAGCATGGCCTACTTCATCGTGGACCTGATCAATTACATGTACGCCGCGCCCGACGACTTCCTCTTCATCGGGCACCACATCGCCACCTTCACCTACATGTACACCTGCCACTACATCACGGGCCATGGTGCCACCTCCGTCATGTGCCTCATTGCCGCCGGCGAGGCCACCAGCCCCGTGCAGAATGTCTGGACTCTCGCAAGAATGGCTCGCGCCGACTCTCCGCGCGCCAAGCGCATCTACACCTCGCTCTCCCCGTTCTTCACCTTCTACTTCACTCTCGTGCGCGGCATTTTTGGGCCCTATTTGATTTATGAGCTCGGCCGATTCTACCTCTTCGGCAAGGCCGACGCCGTCGTGCCCCGGTGGTTGGCCTACTGCTGGATGTTCAAGATATCGTTCGGGATCTTCGGGAGCCTGATGTGGGTCTACAAGCTCTGGGTTGGATTGATCAAATTCTACGGCAACCGGGATAAGAAGCCAGTCGAGGAAGAAACGAAGAAAGCTATCTAATCCTCGCCCCGCCAATCTCCACTTCGTAGATCTGCGGCGTCAATTCCCCGGCGGTCGAGGACCTCGTCCAGTCGCGCGCTTTTCGCACCTCCGACCTCGAGATTCTCCTCTGCCATGCATTCAATTGGCCGGCGGCCTCGCTGCGATTCTGCCATCTTCACGGACGACCCCCGGCCGCAGACGTCCCCCCGCCCCGTGAACTCTAGGGTTAGTAGGTTCCCCAGAGCTCCGCGCTCTGTTTTCCACCGTAGGACGTTTTGTCTACCCTCCCGTAGGTGTCCCTCCTGGATTTGTCGACGCCTGGTGCCTGTTCTGCTGCTGGCTTAGGTCCCGAAGCGCATGGGGAACGAGACGAAGACGACGACGACGACTGCCCTGTGAGCACTGCCGAATGTGTTGCGGAGAATCGGAAGAAGGCCTTGCAGTGCATAGCGTCGATGCTCTTTCGTGGAAGCTGGTGATGGGGAGTGAGTGTCGAGTCTCGGGAGGGCACTTTTCGCCAGTCGTCGAGAGATTTTTGTACAGACAGACAGACCGACCTAGATTTGGTTTGCTGGCACCGCGCAGTTGGGAAATTTGTGAAAGAGAATTGTTCAGTTTCCTGGACCTTGTTCGCATGTCGTTGGTTGTCGTTGTCGTCATTTAAGTGTGGTGTAGAAGAGCTCGACCCAGGCTCCCAGTGGCTCTCTCTCTCTCTTTCTCTATCTCTCTCTCTCTCTTTTCTTCGTTTTTGCGAGGCTGAGCCCTCTGAACGTGGTGCGGGGGTGCTGCTGCTGCTGCTCTTGCCTGCCTGCCTGAGCACCTTCTCCTCTCAGTAGCTTCGTGAACGTACATTTGTTGTCGGCTAGGATGGAGCGAAAATTTTAATCATGATGGTTGACCTTCTCTTCTGTTGACAACCTGCTCGTATGAATTCTGATGAATTTCATTGCATTCGAGACTATACCCCCAACATGTCTCTGTGGTCATGGATTCTCGATGCATTTGTGCTCTCATTCCCTCTCTACAATGTTCTTTGTATGTCGAGGTGTGCACTTGTCTGCTCGCACAATTGGTTTGAATTGCACTGAATTGTGTGGATGGAGGAGCTGGACTATGTCGTGCACACATTTCGAAGATGATTCAGAGGGAATTGTGAAGCTATTGAAAATTTTTCCTTGCCTGTCGACCACGTGGATCGTCACCCCCGTGTGTCGGGTGACATGCCTTGGTAGACATTAATGAGGGCATCGTGGTGTCAGTGGGCTTTTCTGTGGAGAAAAAAGATCTTGGGTCGGGCTGAGCCTGTCCTCTCCTCTCTTCTTGAGCTGGATCCTTCCCAGACTCGGGGTGGTCAAGAGAAGCTGTACTGCACGAGCCAGGAGGATCCCATGGTGTCTTTCCCCGCCTGGTCGTCCTCGATGGAAAGCAGGGCGCAGCATGTCACCTTTACATAAAGCATGGGAGATACTAGGAGTGATGAGTTTTTCGATGTGCACAGTGAATTGACTCGGATGAGGAATTTACTCGTCGCCATCTGTCCGATGCCATACTCGATGAAGTATCACGTTGGCTCACTCGAGGGCGTACACAAGGCAGGACTCAAACAGACAAATCCATCACAGATTTTTTCAGATCATGGATTGTAGTCGTACGTTGCCAGTGTTTTCACGTGTGGACAACATGTTGATAGTTTGGCTACGTTACCTTCCTCTTCTAGCCTCTTACAATATACTGCGGCTCTCATGTCGTTTGAAAAGGACAAGCCATCGAACATTCCCGACCTGTTGATCGGTCGGAGAGGACGTACATTAAGTGGGAGATGCAGTAATTCACGTTTTAATTATTCCGTCAAAGGTTCAGTGAATAATTCAGATTAGGAAACATGACATCACAGTAATAGACCTGGATAATCCTTTTCTGGTTATGAGCGGAAATTGGGCCAAGTACTAGATGTATCGTGAATCATGAATCATGATACATATACGAGTTACACGGTAAATTTCTACACAACTAGTTTCTCACTAAAATGCAAAAGTGGACGAATTCTTGGCACATCGTGTGCTGAGCGGGCAGTTTGGTGCAAAGACGGAAATGCTACGAAGATCGAATCGGAAGAGGAAAAATATTTGCTGCCCAATAACTTACGACACTCAAGGCTGGCGAACGAAAGCACTCGAAACTCTCAGATTATATTGTATTATAATCGTGCTGGAAAAATTGTGAACAAATATTCGTTTCATGATTACGTTGTTGATCTTCTTCTACAGCTGCGGAACCCACAATCGGTCGCGCACACCATCGTGCCGCGTCGTGTGCCATCCGCCAGCTATGGTGGCGCAACTAGTCCTCGACGTCCTGGATGACGATTGATTGGGTCGAGAGAGAGAGAGAGAGAGAGCACACGGGAGCAGCATCTCGCTCAGCTCAGCTCAGCTCTCGAACAGCAGGAAGAGAGTGCAGAAGAGAATCTCTACTTTACGTGGACGATGAACCTCCGAAGGCTACGAAAACGTGAGGACGAAGCTCTAGCAGTGCCCTCTGAAGACGTCCACCACAGCTTCCTTCAAATGGCTGTTGGTCGAGCACACTCGATGCGACATGATATCGAATGGGCTTCCGGATCTGCGCGCCGACGTCATCAGCCACCACCGAATCAGTCCTTGAGTGTGGCAGTTTCAAAGGAAGGCAAAGCGATCAAGCAAGCGACAATTAGCTTACGTCCTACGCACACATGGAAGATTCATGGGCATGAAGGACAACAATTCCTGAGCTGGGGCTTTTGAGTGTCAGTGCACGCACGGATCGAAGACGAGTCCGCCGGCTTCTTGCACGATGAGCACTCCGGCGGCTACGTCCCTGCGCACATGCCAACGAGAAGAGGCGTCTGTCAGTGGCGGGGCAATCGATCGATCGAAGGAACGAAGCGGAGGATTGATGAGAGACGTGACTCACCACGGACCCCCGAACCCGATTTCGTAGAAGATGTCCAACCTCCCGCACGCTACTCCGCACAGATTCATGGCGCAAGAGCCGGACATTCGGAGCGATCGAACCTGAAGCACGCTCACGAGACGAAAGATTGAATAAATGGATGAATGAATGAATGGAGCTGATGATCAAAGCACGGCTCGACCCGTCTCGCCCTTTTCAACGATGGTGCGAACGAGCGAACTGAAAGATCGGAAGACTGACGGACGAGGAAATGGATCGGGACCGACCTTGAAAAGCGCTGCGTTTATCCTATTCGTCGATTCGTCTACCGTCTGGACGTCCCGCGCCGTGCCGACCTGCCATAGCCACTTCGTTCATCGTCTCGTCCCAGAAGAAGAAGGGAACGAGGAAGAGGAAGAGGAAGAGGAGGAGGAGCAAAGAAACAAAATGTCTGCAAAGCTTGCAGTCACCGGCAACCCAGTACCTCCCACGATGATGCCTCGATCGATGGGTCGGTCGGACCTCTGGCTCTATAGCACCGACCTTCAGTTCGATTCAATGCAATTCAAAGCAATGGAATGGGGAGTGACATCTACTCAAATATGATCTCACTGCCAGAAGATTGAGTGAATGAATGTCTACGCATGCGCTTTTCATGCGATGAGTGGAGATGGTCACGCCCATCGAGACTGCCTTGCACGAGGTGCAAGCTAATCTTTAATCAGCACCAGTAGCAGCATTCGCACTGATGGCGTGCCTCTCGAGCTACCCTCCCAATGAGAACTAACTACGTTACGTCAGAATGCAAGGAAGTTGCAACATACTTCTGTGGCGAGCAGAGCGTTTCCAATGTCCGTCTGATCAGAGGCTGCAACAACAACAATGACACCGACAGGGCATGAAACCCATCAGATACTCTTGTCAAACTCAATCCCAAATTTGATCTGTACCAACGATTCCTGTGACTGAGCTTGGTTTAGATCTGATCAGGAGACGGAGGATGCTGGTGAAACACGGAGCAGCCTATCGCCACTGAAACGGAACGATAGAATTTGGCCCTCGAGGTCGAGGGATTGGGGAAGGTAACTAGGAAAAATCAGGGCCGGAAATTTGTGGAGCTGCAACGATAGGAGTGGACACTTACCCATGATGAGCTGCCCGTTCAGAAATGCTCCACCTCCCTTTGTGGCAGTGTACAACTGCAGACGAGTTTGAAGATTAGAGTGCTAGCACCAGAATGTGAGACTTGCCTCAGCGATGGTGGAAAGCTTGGGATGTGAACCTCAAGCCGTCGAAAGATCATTCATCTATTTGCAGCGAGTGTATCAAAAGCGAGGAACTGGTCGTACACATCTCCGCTTGCATGCCATTCCATCACAGTGCAGTACAACGAAATGGAAGAGTGTCCGAAGCTTTGAGTACCTCATCGAGAATTGGATTGTACACAACTCCGACGACAGGAACCTTTCCGATGGTGAGTCCGATCGATACGCAAACGAAGGGAAAGCTGTTCACCATACGGATTCAACGGGTTACGAAATTTGCAACGACGACAAATTCTGCCGAGAAAGAACTTTCTTTCCTCATCTGCTTCATTATTGCTGACGACTTCAGCTCTATTCGGATTGTGGCTAATTGATAGACAGTACAGCACCTGAAGAATCACAGGTAACAGCACACCAAGTTGAGTGGGAGGCTCAAACCTGTGAACAAAATTGGTGGTTCCGTCTAAAGGATCCACAATCCAAGTCGGTTCATCTGTGATGGCGTTAATCTTCCCGCTCAATGATGATTCCTCTTCCCCCAGAAGCTGAAAATTGCAATCACATGATTAGCTTCTTCCCGAGCACCGAGTACCAAATCAATGTGAAGAAAACGATTCTCATCTGGGACCGCAGCACTCGACAACAAACTAAAATCGGATATGGTCACCAGCACTAGCGGTGAAGATTACAAACTGGAAGACTCTGCACGAATAGGAGAAGCAACGAAAGCAAGAAATTCTTGTAGCCCCTGACACGCACGGACTCGAATAGAGAAATTCCACCGATGAGATGAAATTGAAAGCAAGTTTTGCTATCTGGCACCGCCATTACCTTGTGGGTAGGAAATGCCTTCGACAGATGGTCGAATATTATCTTCTCGCAAGCTTTGTCGGTTTCGGTTACTAAATCGACCTGCGCAATCAGAATCGAGTCAATCTCTCGGACTTCAGCTCAGCTCAAATCGGGAGTGACTGCCAAAAGCATCCAGCTTGAGATTTCTGGAGACATTTTTTACTCCTCCCACGTCAATTTGCACACGACGAGGTCACGCAGCTCCCTTCTGCAAACGCAAACGAGATTTGACTCTTAGGCATTCAGAAGAAGGGGTCTAACGCACCTTTCCCTTGTGTTCCACCGTTTTATGTTTGTAGAAGCTGACCTGAATCAACTGCAAAATCAGACGATGACGTCTTCAGTCTTTGCTCTGGAACACGCGAACCGAGCAATGGAATCACAGAAATGACAACTGGAATTGACACTAACTCGGATTTTTTATCACCGAGAGCTGACAGAGCCCCTCTGAACGGTACAAATCATTCACTCGTAGTCGTCACCGCATTCACTGCAGAAGATCTTGCGCAATTTGAGCTACCATGTTGTAAAGGATTGCAAAAATCTCCATATTGTAAACACAGACTCGGAGAGGAGAGAGAGAAAGAGAGAGAAAGACCTTTCCAGCCATGACCGCAGCCTCTTCAGCCACAGCGACATACTTGTTGAGCATTTCTGCAAGAATTGAGCTAAAACCTCTGAGAATTTAGCCGAGCTTGAAAGCGTCCAGAGAATCTCTACCACACAATCTTCCGATAAATCTCTCATCCAATTAAGATGAATTCTGCTGCCCCATAAAAAAATTTCACACCAGAAGAACCCCCCGCACAAAAATGCTTCACTCGATTACAAAACCCACATTCATCGATTCATCCATCCATCCAATTAACAACAGAACCAAACGAGTCGCAATTCCAGCAGTCAATGGCCTAGCCTCGATACAACAAGCAAAACAGACAGTACCAGAATCGCATCCAGAATCGACACCCATCTCTCCCTATCTCTGAGAGACGAGCTCGAAATTCACGACAAATCCTTCTTCCTCGCAACCAAGCGCACACGAAGACAAACGATCAATGCGGACGCGCATTCTCTCGACTGGGCTCGGATTCATCACAAAGACGCACCTAAGTCGACGGCCATTGCGAGAGAGGGGGCCCTGTGACCCACAGAGGCCGTCCCGGATCAGATCCGCGCTCGACGCTGCGCCCGAATTGCGCTCTCGAGAATCCGATGTCGATGCGGTCGATCCGTCCGCCCAGAGTCTCAGTGCGTGAGAGACTAGTGCCCCCCTGCACTTGCACTCGGGCTTGCCTTCCCCTTCCCCTTCCCCCTGCCGGGCTTCGGTCGCCCTGCGGGGGCTGCAGGAGCACGTGAGACGAGCGCCTGCAAGCACCTCACCTCTCGTTCCAGAAGCTGGGGGGCCAGGGCCACTGCGGGACGGGCGCATCCGTCCATCCATCCGTCCGTGATCGGTCGTCGGAGGTGACGGTAGTACAGTATATAGCATACCGCCGATGGGATATGCGACGAGATTCCGTCGACGTCACGCACGCGCGCGTCGGGGCAACGAGCGGGACAGCCGTCACGCGTGATTTTCGTACGGGCCTGATGCCGCTTACGCCTTGCGGGGGCCCAAATTGCGCCTTCCCGGCTCTTGTACCTGCCCGCCCGCCTCTGTCCCCTCCGAGCGAAGCGCTCTTCGACCGGGGGCCCCGGTGCTTTCCTCCCGTCCCTGCCTCCATGGCCTTTGCTGTCTGCTGCTGCCGGAGACGTTGAATAAGAATTGTTGTGGACATAAACATAATTCAAACTAATCTTATTCTATATACTATTGATGCAATATAATGGTTCATTTTTTATTATTAAGTTTTGAGAAGAGTCCTGACCAAATCACTTTACTTAAAAAAATTAAGAACATCACTGCACCAAACTCTAACCTATTCCTATACATCATGTTAAAATTTTGATTGTAACTTTCAAACCAGTGAATCATTCTGTAGACTAAATCGTAATTTATAATTCTAAATATTTACATTTACGAAAAACTAAGTAATCAGGCAGCTAAATGATAAAGATTAAACTTTTTTGCACCGGACAAAGTTGAATTCATGTAAATTTACTTAATTTTATATTGATAAACATAAATAATTAGACATCAGAAGCCAATAAAAACAAATCAAACTTAATTTTTTGATATCTGTATACGCAAATGGCTGGTATTAGTCATTTCTCAATTGATTGATCAATTGAGAAAAATATTAAAAGAAAAATCAAAATATCTTAAAATCAGTATCTTTATATTATCAAGATTTATTGGATTAAATGGAAAAAATCTATAAAAATTAAGAAATTTGTATCAGAACTTTTATTTTTCATAATAAAATATATTTTTTTGAAACAATAAAGATTGCATTTCATACAAAATTCAAGATAATGAACATAAACATCATTGATAATTTTTTACAAGCAATTCAATTCAATATTAAAAGATCTTGAACAATGTGTATATAGTATAATATTTCTAAACTACTATTTTGAAAACTTTTATTTTTTAACTTGATTAATTTTTTGATAGATCATTCAATCAATTGCAATTTTTAAACGTTGTTTCAAATTTTGAAGATTTAAACATCTTAAGATTGTAAACATTAAACATCTTATGATGTAAATGATTTAACATAAGTTGTCATAGAATATTTTTTTCATTCAACCAAGATGACAAAGTGTAAGTAGTATTAATTTTCAAATATATTAACAATTGGAGCGGCTAAGTATCACTCATTTTGGGCTAATCATCACTCATCCTAGTATACGGTTTGCCAAGATTGGTCGAAAGTTATAGCTACCAAAAGGGCTGAGTTTATGGTTCTTCTAACATGGGTGCTCAATCTTCTTATACCACTCTGCATCAAACGTGGGACCTATGAACCACGTCGAAATCACAACTTTGTGGCATTTGTCGTAACTTGTCTGATGTCTTAATTGTGAATATCCACACTCTGATGGAGGCGATGATGATCAACTACGGAATTTCCAAGGGTGCAACGAGATTGTTCAGGATGCAAGTATCGAAACCCTGCTACGTCATTACACAAAGTTGCACTAGCCTAGCCTTTCAACTTTCAAAGGTACTTGAACTTTCGGATATTGTAAGAGCGTAGACCTTGCGGAAATTTAGAATCATACATGTCATCATTGAACTCGACGATAAAAACATTAATCAGAATATACGCATGCGTGTGTGCTGCGGCCATGCTAGATAGGTGATCCACACGAAGTTCAAGGCCTCGAGGACGAAGAAACGGTGGGGGTGCTTGGTGGCAGCGATCAGCACGAGTGAATGAGTGCGCTGAGCTACATTCGCGAAGAGACAAAATTTAAGGGCACGAAGCATGGATGTGGTGAAGGTATTGTCTTGTTCTTTATGGGGACTTTGAGACTTGTGTACTCTTTCTGAGCTTTGGCAGTTCAGCGTGCGTCATATGTTGCTTGATTGGATTTTAGTTTCTACAATGTCTCTCACGTCTGACACACAGAGAGGAACATGGATGTCACATTTGACACAAAGAGTAACACGAAGGTGAGGTAACCATGTTAGAAGAACCATAAACTCAACTCCACTAGCAACTATAACCTTCGATCAATCCTGGCATACCGTATACCCAAAATGAGTAATAACTAAACCCTCCTTTAACAATTTATTTCATCTTTGTTTGAATCAATATCAAAAATTTTCTTTACTTGTTCATCTCTACTTGTTAATATTGAGTAACCAACAAGCAAATTAATTTGTTATATAGATAAAATAAGCTATATCCATAAAAGTTAATTTCACAACTTGCACATGATCTATTACTTTCTCACCCAAGAATACATTATATACTAGATTTCATGTGATAATCTCAAAATTACACTAAAAATGAATATGTATAGATTTATATATTCAAAATATTTTAATGAAGTTAACAAAAGATGTGTTAGATGTGACTTAGTTTTTGAAGTGAGGAGTGCAGTGCAGATCATATATTAGATGAACAAATCTTCTCGATTACTGAAATGAACACCCTTGAGAATAAGTATTGGCATTATGTAGTTGTCGCTAATGTTCAGAGGTGGCCACGGGTTCTTGTTATATCATTTTCATTACCAAATGCTCGAGAGAGCAAGTGAAAATTGAATATGCATACATGAAGGCTGTATAGTGTGATCGGTGATAAACTGCCAACATGCGATTCATGTTGGCAGTTTATCACCTGCCAACATTGAATTTGCATGTGCAAGTACATAGTGTTTTTTTTCTAAATAAATGCACATGAATTATTCAAAATCAAAGTAGACATTTCCTCTAATATTGTATATAACAACAAAACTTGAACAACAAAACCACTTCAACTTCAAAATCATCTATCAATCCTCATATGACAAAAACATATTTAACTTTACAATTTGAAAGCTCATTGTTGATCACCACAATCTTCATGTTTGGCAACATCCACAATGATCGTGGTTGCAACCTTTGCAGCTTTTTAAATAGAAATTGTATTTGTTGCCGTTAGCTTGACAAGTTCAGTTGCTACAACTCTAGCAACTTTAACCGCTCTACTAGCGCAAATGCAGCACTTGTTCATGTTTTTGCCATGTTTGCAAATGCTTTTATTATACTTCTCACATCCATCTTGTCAATCATAACACACGGTGCTAACTTATCATACTATTTCTTGGCTTTCTACGATGGCGTAATCTACTTTGAATCTACTTCTTTACTTAATTATTGTTCTTTCCTAGTCATTAACGTACTTTCAAGATTATTGTTACCTCTATCAATCAACGACCTTAAAAAGATTAATTCTTCGCCTCAAATATCACATTTTGATATTGTTTCAAAACCTGCATAAAAAATCCTTTACTTCTACTCTCTATTTCGTCTACTTGATCACAAATGACACTTCTTTGCATTGAAAGCTATAAAGTATCATTTTTATCTCCATCTTAATCTCTCAACAAACAAGTGTGTTTAAACCACTGTCTATTAACTATTAGTATTTTCTTTAAATCATTTTTATTTTTGTGTAGTTTTTTATTTTCAACTACGTCCTTGTCGGTATCGAGGACGTAGTCTAGTTTGATCGGAAGCTTCAACATTTATCCTATCGTCTTTACTCTCCGCAACTGCTTCTTCATCTTTATAAAACTAATATAAAGATTTAAAAATATAGATATATATATTTAGATTAATTTCACATTCAATGCTCTTATCAATTGTCAATTGTTATGTGCTAATCTTCTTGATTTTCACGTTCAATGGTGTTATCAACTGCCAATTGTTTTGTGTCAGTCTTATTGATATTCTCGCTCAATGCTTTTATCAATTGCCAATTTTTTTTGCCAGTTTTCTTGATTTTTTTCTCAATTCTCCTATCAATTGCCAACTGTTTTGTATTCTTCCATGCATTCTTGTTCTTGTACATACTTATTTACTTGCTTGATCATTTGTCAAAAAATAAGTTTTTTATAGATAGTACAATTCACAAATTAATTTTACTAAGAGTGTGAATTCTCAAATAGTATATAAGCTTGATCATCATATCAATCGTTGCTACATTATCTGCCATAAATCTTGTTGCATAAGTTCTCAAAATTTCACATGATTCCTCACATCTACAGGTTTTTTTTGAAGATTGTTCAACTTCTTACTATGAAAATTTCACTTCACACGTCATTAGTCTTAGACGCATGCTCAATGATCCATTACTTGATACTAACAAGTAGCTAATTTTCAAAAGCATGGATATATTGCAAATGCATATACATTCGACAAGATGAAAAAAAAACTATAAATAATCTAGAAGTAGCAACGCAGATACGGATTGAATATGCTGTTAACAACAAATTTTGACTATCTAGTTCAAAACATACATCATCTTCTTGGATCATATTCAGAAGTTTAGCCAATCGTATGAGAGTAACGGAATTATTTTTGTGAATGTTAGTCTCGTTGCCTACTTGTAATTTGATTTCTCATTCTTCAAAATTATCATCAATAAATAAAGCAGACAAGATTCAAAAGTCTGGCAATTATTTTCTATCCGCTTCATCAATGTCTGCTATTGTGCGCTATTTTTTAACTTTCACTATCACTATTGCTGGCTCCAACGACAACTCCTACTTCATCATTTCCGCTTAATTTTCCTACCAAATTTGTTAAATATAATTCAAAAAATCTTGAGCTCCACAAGTTGAACTCCTTACAACAATCTCACATTATTGTCGAATTACATTTTTTTTGTTCCAAGGTACTGAACATACTTTTTCACTTCAAAATTAATGAGACTAAAGATCCACCTAATTCAAACAATTAA